CTTCCCCTCCTCCTACTCATTCCTCCCACATTTTCTTCCCATCCTATTATCCAAAGGTGGTACTAGAGACAAAGAATCAGAGACATGCAAGTTGTTTCCACACCTTCAGATGAGCCTCTTGCACCTCCTGTCACTACTGAGGTAACAGGTCAACCCTCTTCTACCACTTCGGATACCTTCCCTGACCTTGATCTCCCTATTGCTCTCCGCAAAGGCAAGCAGAATTGTACAGCTCATTGTATTTCCAAACACCTATTAAACAGCCTTCTTTCCCCTTCCTACTATTCCTTCCTTGCCTCTACTTCCACACATGTGACTCCCAGATCTATCCCAGAGGCCTTATCCAAAACAGAATGGAGGGATGCTATGATGACTGAATTAGAGGCTTTGCATAAGAACAATACTTGGGAAATTGTGGATTTGCTTGAGAAAAAGGAACCAGTTGGCTGTAAATGGGTGTTCACTATTAAGTATCATTCAGATGGCACTATTGAGAGATTTAAGGCCCATCTGGTTGCTAAAGGATACACTCAGATGTATGGTATTGACTATTTGGAAACTTTTGCCCCAGTGGCCAAAATGACTTCAATTCAAGTTTTGATATCTTTAGCTACTACTTTTGATTGGTCACTTCATCAGTTCGATGTAAAAAAATGCTTTCTTGAATGGGAACCTACATGAAGAGGTCTATATGTCTTTATCTCCAGGGGTATATCTGAAGGAGATGCAAGGGAAGGTCTATAAACTGAAGAAGTCCCTTTATGGCCTTAAGCAATCTCCTAGAGCCTGGTTTGACAGATTCCAGGCTGCTCTTGTTACTTTTGGGTACACAAAGACTCAGTTGGATCACACCTTATTTATTAAGAGGAGAGATTCCTTAGTGACCCTTCTGATTGTCTATGTTGATGATATTGTGGTTACGGGTAATGATACTCAGGAAGTTGCTCGTCTCAAAAGCTTTCTTAACACTGAGTTTGAAATTAAAGACTTGGGAGAACTTAGATATTTCTTTTGAATTGAAGTTGACAGATCTAAGGATGGTATCTTCATTTCTCAATGGAACTATGTTCTTGATCTCCTTGCAGAGATTGGCAAACTAGGTGCTCGACCATCTTCTACTCCTATAGACCTAAATCATAAGTTATCAGCTACTAATGGTGAACTGTTGATTGATAGGGGAGTGTTCCAGAGACTGGTTGGGAAGTTACTATACCTTTGCATGACTCGATTAGATATTTCCTATGCAGTTAGTGTAATTAGCCAGTTCATGCATTCTCCTAGAGATACACATTTAGAAGTTGCTGAGAGGGTTCTTGCTATCTAAAAGGGACTCCAGGGAAAGGTGTCTTGTTTGCTAAGCATGGACACATGAAACTAGAAGCATACACTGATGCTGACTAGGCTAGATGCATTGATGATAGGAGGTCCACTTCAGGTTACTATGCTATGGTAGCAGGGAACATTGTATCATTGAGAAGTAAGAAACAGTTTGTAGTGGCTGGCTAGATCCTCAGCTGAAGCAGAGTACAGGGCAATGGCACATGGAGTTTCAGAACTTTTGTGGTTGAGATCACTTTTAGAAGAACTAGGTATAGACTGTGAGAAGCCAATGATGTTATATTGTGATAACCAGGCCGCCATCAACATTGCACATAGTCCTATTCAACATGATAGAACTAAGCACATAGAAATTGACAGGCACTTTATACAAGAGAGAGTTGCTTCAGGAGAAGTTTGTCTACCATTTGTAGGGGTGAGCAAAAAAAAACCGAAAAATTGATTAACCGAACCGATCGGTTCGGTTTCGGTTCGGTGTTTTGAAAAAACCAAAGGTACCGATTCGGTTTCAGTTAACCAATACAGAAAACCGATGGTTAACCAAACCGACCAGTATACATATATTTCTATATATTTTATATTTATTTATGTATATTATATCAATGATTTAAAAGGCGCGCCTAGGCGCACAGGCGAGGCGCATTTTGAAGTATGCGCCTCGCCCAGGTCCTAGGCACACCCCTTTCAAAAGCTTTTTTTTTAAGTCTAACGGCTGGGAGAAGCCCCCTATTTGCTAATGTTGTTCATTCATTCATTGCAATAAAATATCTTCTTAAAAGGCAATGAAAGTTATAAAATCATTATTTTTTATCTGAGAAATAAGAATTTCAAACCCTAACATAGACTTGTTCGGGCATGCCTCGAGGGGCATGGCACAAAGGCGACTCATAGAATCAAGAATGCAATATGTTTTACATCACATTAATTAATGCAATAAGGTAAAAAAGAGATTGTGGGTTTTACATGCTTGAAAATGCTTTATATGTTTTCTTTTATTTTTAAATTTTCATTTGAATACACTTTACATGTTATGTTTATGTATTTTAATTTTAGATAATAAGTTTTTTAAATCATTTATTTTAAAATTTAAGTTTATATTTTTTATTAACATTATGTTTAATATTTTTTGAATTCTTTGCATTTTTTGTGAATTTTGACTTTTTTTATTCTTTTTTGTAATTTTGTGCCTTTCTTAAAAAGGCACGTGCCTCGCCTTGCGCCTTGCGCCTCAGGCACAAATTGGCCCTTGCACTTTTTTTACGCCTTGCACTTTTAAAACACTGTATTATATATATTTTCTGTATTTTTTATATATTATAAATTAATAAATTTGCATTATATATAAATATATATTTATAAGATATGATATATTATTTATTATTTAAAATACAATATTTTATATATATTTATAATTTTTTATTATATTTTTATCTATATTTTTATAATATATATTGTAAAAATTAAAAAAAAACGAAAAAACAACAAACCAAACTGGTCAACTGGTTAACCGATAGGTTTTGGTTCGGTTTCGGTTACCGGTTTTCCAAAAACCGGTACTACCGGTTCAATTCGGTTTTGGTTACTAGTTTGCTTCTGAAGAACAGTTGGTTGATGTTTGACAAAAGGTGTTCCTAAAGGAAAGCCGGTTCACTTTATAAGCAAGTTGGGCATGATTGATATCTATGCTTAACTTGAGGGGGATTGTAGAGAGACTAAGCCGAATGGGCCCTAGCCCATTAGTGTCTTATTTTTTAGTTCTTTCTTGTTAGTTGTTCTTAATGGGCCTTTTTCTTTATGGGCCTTTAATTCTTGTTTATGTTTACTAAGTATGTTGATGAGTTGGACGCCCACTTAAGGGCAGATTTGTAAATTATGTAACTTAAGTAAGATTAATAAAAAGATTAGAGTGGGGGAAAGAGGAGATTATCGAATTCCTCCTCCTTTCTCCTTTCTTCTCCATTCTTACTTCTTCTCTATTTCTTTTACTATAATCTAAATTATTCTACTATTTGTTATTTGTCTGAATCACATCTGATTGGACAGTCCAAGAAGACATTGAACTGGACCATTACAGACTTAATGGTCCAAAGTACTTATTAGATTGGACTGGACCTGGTCCATCTGTAATGGACTCATTGGACCGCATCGGTTGGACCAATATCTGGTCGAAACTAAAACCAACATATCCTGAACCTCTTCCAGGAGAGATGCATTTATTTGACACCATATAGTCCACTGTTCTATAACACTTCCCCAAGAAACAAATCAAACAATCAATTTATTTTTCAAGTTTCCAACCAAATGATAGATTTATTTCTCACAAGAGACACCATGATAGGCACATGCCACATGGTGTAATGGATACTTACAAAAGAAAGTTTCAGAATGCAGTTTCAGTTCTATTCTGCAATCCTCTGGAAATAAAATAATTAAGAAGAAAGAACAAGAGTCTTTTTATTGAATTACATTTGAATTCATGAAAAAAAAAAAGAATAAACAAATGGTAAAAGAGGCTGAGGTTTTTAACCATGTCAACATTGGTGTGATTCTTTGAGTTTTAAGGAAAGCACCTTGACCCCTGGATGCATGAGTTTTAAGGCTCATGAACCCTCATTCTTTAGAAAAAAGAAAGAAGAAAAATTAATTATAACAAGAAAAGTAGAAAACCTATATAAAATAAGAAAAAAAAGATAGGAAGACAACCATAAATAAAGAAAAGACAAATTATTTGACCATCACATTTAATAAAAAGAAAAATTGTGCCTCAAAAGATATTTACTTCTTATATATTTATGTTGAAAGCAATGCAGTCAAATCATCAATTTATATCAAATGATAATAGAAAATATAGATTCCCTTTCCAAAAATAATAAAAGAAGTCAACTTTGACTAATGTTGAGCCTAGTTTCATGGCATTGAGGTCTAAGACTCTAATATTGAGCTAGCTTCAACACTTGGGCCCATTTGGGAGGGCTGAGCTAAAGACTCCACTAAGGTGGTTCAGCTGCTTTGAAGGCTCTGGATAATCTATTGCAAGAGGCTGATGCTGACAGCCCTTACAATGACTGATGGACAGCCACTTTAGGCTCTCTGGATTTTTCACCAAACATAACTTATAGATGTGTGGATCTCACCTTGAAAAGCCAGAAGTGGTTGTGCCTCAGCCCTCCCAAACAGGCACTTATACCTTGAGGCAGTATCACAAAACCCAGACCAGCCAGCTAGCTTTCAATCAAATGGATCAACCTGGTTAACCTGCCATCTAGAACAAACTTTTGTGGGGAAAAACACACTACATGTACATATGTATGTTTTAGCTGAGTAGATTTCTATTGTTTCTATACTTGTGCCTCTACCATTTTCCTCTCCATATTACTCACACTAACAAATCTCTATACACATAATAGGTTTTGATGATAAAAGTATACATATAATAGCTTTTATATAAAATTGCCAAGCCCAGTCTGTCCCAGACCTGGTTTTTTTATGGTTAGTTGGTAATGTAAACATGTCAAGACTGTCCTGAACAGGCTGGCTCAGACAACACTGACCTAATTGTATGATGCTCCATATTTATCAATCAAAACAGCCAACTAGAAAGGCAAGGGTATAAAGATCATGCAAATAGCTAATTCCTATTAGAATGGAAAAGAAAAAATTACCTTGACAACTGTCTGGCTAAACCAGGTTATGAGACCATATTTGTTGAGATAGCCTGCCATTGCAATAAGTGCAGCAAACCATGTCAGGGTGTCCCAGGCAACTGCTTCCGCTAAGCATTCCTTCCATGTCACAACCCCAGTTATGAGGAGGACAGACAACCCAAGAATAGCAGCAGTTACAGCATCTACATTCAACTTGCTTCCAAATATCCAGAGCCCCACCTAGATAAGGAAACTCATATCAGCAGGGAGTTATTAACATCTGCTACCAATTAAAGCTTTGTGCATGCATGCATTAACTGAGCTTTATCATAATGCTACAATGGTGTTGAGACTGTGGGTCTGGTGGATCCTTCAGAAACAATGAGATTCAAGGGCAGAAATAAAATACAAACAGAGGAACTAAACTAGGTGCCAAGCAAACTTTCCATAAAAAACTCAAAAAACAGATGATCATTTGCACAAGTATAACAACTCAAATGTACATTGTACCATTGCACTGAATAATGGGTCCAACAGTGCACAAGGTCTCATTGAAACCCAGGATTTAGGCCTTTATGGCTTTACCTGCTTATGCTGCACCTTCCTATGTTACATTCCAAATGGGTCCTTGCCCATGTCAAACACTTCAGTATTTAGTGTAAATTCTGTGTACAGTACCTTGTCCTTGCCATGTTTGTGTAACAAACTCCTGAGGCATAAACAATTAATACCTTTCTAACTCTAATTCCAAGTTTTTTTTTTGCTTGTTTGTTTGTGTGTGTGTGTGGATATGCAACTTTGAAGATTCTAAGCTAAAGCATCACTCAATGCTTTGAAAGGTGGCACATAATTGCTCAATGGTGGCAGAATGGGTTCTTTGTCATCCAGAATTCCAAGATATAAACAAATGGGGTCTTCAGTCAGATTGTTGGCTATAAGAGTCCAAGTTGGGAAATGGGTGGCTGTTTTTTGTTTTTGGGTTATGTTGCTTTGGGTCGATGAATGTTTTGATTATAGTCTCTTCACTGGAATTGTAATCTCCTTTCCCTTTTAGTGGAACTTCTTTCTTTACTAACAAAAAAGTGCTTTGAAAGGCTTAGAGCTAAGGCAAGATGTTGGACCTAAGAAACACATTAGGTGCAATCTTGTGTTAACCCATTAAACAAAACATGTGAGAACAGAATTTGCCAAAAAGAGAAAAACAAATGTTATATGAAAGATTAACCTACAATTGTAAATAGAAGTCAAGAGAAAGAAAAAGGAATTACAAAGTTAAGATTCACATTTTAGTTAATATTCATTGGACGTATGCTTGGAGGCTTGAGCCTCTTATGCTGAACCGAAAGACCCTCTTGAGCCTCATGCCAAGGCATAAGCAGACATCTACATTTGAAAATACTAACAAGTAAAATTATCAATTACATTCAACAAGATATCCCCTTAATTTGATAAGATTTATAACATTGGGTCCAAGTTAAAGAATCATAGAATCAATTGATTTAATAAAACCTCTCTGGCAATACCAGGTCAATGAAGAAGAACGTTAATCGTGAACATAAAGAAATCGGCATTTCAGCATTCATAATGAAGTAAAGAACATGGAATTAGAAGTATGTGAAAGTACTATACCGTCAAAACTAGGGTAGCTGCCATTATAATCTCATTTTTGGTCATCGATCCCATCTTCTCTAATTTCTCCCTTGCTAGCTTCGGTGCATCTGGGCTGCTCTTCACCGTTGGCGGATAAATTATATACAGAAGTAACGGGACAACAAGTAATGAAATCAAACCAGGCACAATTGCAGCCTTGGCCCAATCAGTCCACCCAATAGTCTGCTTTATCGTATTATAGGTTAGATTTGCACTCAATGGATTTGCCGCCATGGCAGTGAGAAACATTGAAGACGAAATCACTGAGGTCTGGAAGCAAGTAAGCATCAACCACGCCCCCAACTTCTTTTCAGTCCCATCGCCAGCATTACTACCGCAAGCGACACAAAGGGATTTAACCAATGGGAGAAAAATTCCACCCGCTCTAGCAGACACAGAGGGAATAGCGGGTGCAAGGAGCGCCTCGCTGAATACCAAGCTGTAACCTAAGCCTAAAGACGAGCTACCAAACAGAGACACAAATTGGTAAGCAATACGATTACCAAGTCCAGTCTTTATAAATCCTCGAGCAAAGAAGAAAGCAAGAGCAATAAGCCATGGGATCGGATCACCGAAGGCGGAGAATGCAGCGGCGAAGGTTAGTGTTTTAGTGAGAACAGAGGCTCCCAATCCCATCAAAGCAACCGCGCCAAGAGGCAGGGGTTGCGTGATAATTCCCACTATAGTAGCAAGGAAGATAGCAAGCAATTGCCAAGCATTTTTCGTCACACCGGATGGAACAGGAAGAAACCACAGTATAACTCCTGTCGCAATTGAAGCCATTAATGGCTTCAAAGCCGCACCTTGCCATGGCTGAGAAGAAGGCGCTACCGGAGCAGCAGAAGCAGCTGAAGCTCGAACAGTGAATTTCCGGTTCGAGAGCGAGCGAGCACAATTGGAAAGATTCAGAGAGAAACTCGATGGTAAGGTACCGAGGAAAGGTTTATTCAACGAATTCGAACGCGAAGAAGCTCGATTTTGATTAGAGAGAAGATCGGATCTGGTCGTGGATTTGAGATTTAGCGATGGAGACTTCGCAGAGCGAGATCTGCAGCTCGGAAGGGAGCGAAATCCCAAGTTGCAGGAAGACGTAAGCGCGAGGGACGCCATTACTGGCGCAACTCAAAGCTCCAGAGGTCACAAAAGCATTGAAGATTGAGGGAGAAACGGAGAAGAGGAGATTCGAAGGGTATTTATAAGAACACGAAGCATGACCTTTCTTGACCGTCAGATCTTGATCGTACGGTCTTCATGGTGTTGAGAATATACTCTTTTCTTATTTCTAGTTAAGTCCGTCGGGGGTCCCAAAATGTCCGAATCCGACCCTCACATTTGCGCCGATTTATATGGGGTCATGTTCGAAGAGGATAAACTTGTCCAACTATCGAAATCTGAAGCAGAGGTCAAATCATCCTCGAACGATCAATTGGTCAAATAATGGGAGAGAGAAATCTGAACCCATCAGAGAGGACGGAATTACGAAAATACCATTAAAGTATCGCAGCCACAAAAGACAAAACCTCTTCGGATACCCAAAACAACAGCGTAAGGACGAGGAGGTTCCAGCAATGAAGTTTGTATGGAGAAGACACGTGGCGCGCGGACCAAGCTATTCCCTGGTTTTACCTCTTTTCACTGGCCCAAGAGTCAAGGTTGAGGAGGGTCCAGTTAAGGGCCCGTTTGTATGTGAAATCATTTACAAAAAATGCGTTAACTATTACAAACTGAGGTAATTTGCTTTCTATTAACGCTAATAGTTTTTTTAAGCAACCAATTTAACTAGTTATTGGGCATTTTTAATTTTTTTATGCGGTTGGCGTGGGCAGTGGATGCATTAAGATGGGCGCTCTCAGTTTTTTTATTCTTTTTTTAATAACAACTCTAAGCTTAATAACTATTAATAATTAATTGAAAATAGGAATCCCCATCAAAGTTCTAATAGTTTATAAATTACTAGAATGTTTCATTGACTTGTTTATTTTATTTGAATAGAATTAATATTGCATGTTGTTGCTAAATTACATAATACACTATATATATAATATTAAAAGAAATTTATAGAACTAAAACAAGTTGACTTTGGAACCATGGAAAAATGGAGAGTTTTATAACAATGTAAGAAAGAGTGAAACTCTAGTTCTTGAAATATAAATACCATTTTGGTGGGTTAGGTAATTATAAATTTTTCAACAGAAAAAGAGGTGTCAAATCTTTAGATGTCTACATCCCCCTTAGCATCATAATCCAGCAGTTTGCATAATCATCATCCATGTTCTGAGTTGGTGGTTTCAAAAGTGATGGTTTTGAAGAAGAATTGAAATTTTGATTCTTCAATCCAAGGTTAAAAATACGTTCAATACGCCGGTATGGGCGTATCGGATGAATCAATACAGTTTTTGGTATTTTTTTTTTTTTTAGTTTTTTCGCAACTGGTTCAGGGGAGTCGGTTTAAGCCTCCTCCACACCCTAAATTGGTCAGACCCCCAATACATCCACTGTAGGGGCGTATTGGAGGGGTCTCAGAACAATACGTGTCAATACTTTGAACCTTAATTCAATCTTAATTTAGTTCAACTTATTTACAAATATAATAATAAGAGTGAGGTGGCATTTGGAACGATGCCTAATATCTGAAAAATCTTAGAAGATGAATCTCATTTTGTAACCATATCTCTAAAAACTGATAATAGGTGGTTCGGTTGGTATATAAACTGGGTAGTCCCAGAATGGATGCGGTTTCGAGTCTCGCTGTGAGCTCCCACCATCATTTGGAGAAGTGTTATTAGCTAGTTGCTAGAAAAGTGTTGTATTGTGCTAAGAAAAATGAATTATGGCCCATATGGGGGCAAAAGGCGTGTGTTTTAATACCAAAAAAAAAAAAAAACTGATAATAGGTTCTATTTAGGTTGTATTTGGTACCATTAACACTTCAACTTGCAACATTTTGAATTGGTAAATACAAATTTTATAAGAATATATTTTTTTCTACCACAAATGTTTCAAGAAACATCAAATTTGGTGTTTTTACTATAAATGCCAATACCAAACCTAATATCTATATTTTTTCTAGTGGAAGTGGTTATGTGATGTGATATGGCAAGATGATTTCTCAAAAATTTGTTTTGACCAACCTAAAATGTTGCAAATAAAAGTGGCAATTGTAACAAACATAACCTTAGTAAAAGGTGGGCCATGCAAGTAAGGGTGTCAAAGGAATAGTTTTGGATTGGACCCCATCCAATCCAAAATCAATTTGGACAGATTTATCGGACCAATAAGACATATTGGATTGGACCAATATGAGTCCAAAATATCTATTAGATTGGATTGGACCTGGTCCATCCATAACAAATTTATATTGGATTGGGTTGGATTAAGCCAATATCTGGTCCATTGATATAAGATAAGAATATGTGTGTCAATAGACTGGGTTTGGGTTGAAACCAATCTAAATCAAAATGAATTTGAACAGATTGGATGGTCCAGACATTGAATTGGACCAGTCCAAATTGGTCCAAAACATTCAATGGATTGGATTGGACCTGCTCCATTTATAATGGACTCACATTGGACTAATGTGAACCAGAAATTTCCAAATGATTCATAATAACTAAATGCCCTTTTTTAAAATCAAAGAAGCAGATTTACTATTTTCAAATATTAAATACCCATAAAAAGAGCTTTTCTATTTTTCATGTATCAGACTTCAGTTGTATGAAAAGACATGAATAAGACTTAATTTTAGTTCAAGTTCTTCATATTACTAGTTTTTCTTTTGGTAAAAATTATTACTTGTATTTTCCTATTCAGATTTGGGTTGATCCAAGTTAACATTATGCTTATATAACAGATGATGAGTAAGTGATTAATCACTTTTTGATGAACAACTTTCCATAAACCCATTGCCGAACCAAACGTCACCTAAGGGTCTATCTTCTATAGTTCTATTCAAGGGAGATAGGATTTAGTATCAATAAGTAGAAACCCTTCAATCCCATCAACTAATTAATTTGCTTTTCTAATTCATGATCTTCGCAAGAAGGTTGCTGTATAAGTCCAATGTGTTTGATTAATTTGTTTAATTTCCAATATAGTGCATGTATCTAAGATTGAAAATTACTGGAGAGTTCAAAGAGGAAAAAAATAAGAATTGATAGAAATAGAGAATGATAGAAAAACTTTATACATCCAAACAGGACCTAATCAATAGCATCGACAGAAAGAGGCATAATCTTGATGCTTGAATCCTTCTATTTGTCGCAACTCTTGATTCTTGAATCATTATATTTGTCGTGACACTTGTTCATGAAATTGTGGATGATGAGCGTTGAGAGCGATTGTGGATGTTGTAGCTCCCCTACTTTTCTCTCATCAGGAAATAAGAACAAGTACTTAAGTGTGTTGGTTTGTCGTAATCAAGCAAGAACTAATACAAATTCTGCACTTTCCAAATGATTCGACGTAAAAATTTGGATTCATTTGCGACCAACCAGCAGCAGGCCCAGAATTACGCAAGCTCAAGCTGATCTTGGAGTATCCAAGACTTCAGCCCTAAAGCCAAACCGTGATGTGCTCAAGACTGAATTCCCATGCCCAGTATTAAGCCCATAAATTAAAGCCCAATATAAAAAAGCTTGAGTCGGGTCAAGCCCAGTTTGGTGATTCATTTTTTTTTCCTTCGCTTCTTTTCCATATCGAGTCTGTGACAAGTGCTGCGTATTGACATGTGTATTTTCATACATATGAGTGCTGCATATTTGACTAAATTTGGGGTCTCCTTTATTCGCGGTCAGAATTGGGATTGAAATCCACCTGTTTGGTTCAGATGGGAATCGAATTCCACAAGAGGGTTGGCATCAAGTAAAGAGAAATAATGTTTGGGGTTTTAAGTTATTTGTCTTTTTCAGCATTTTGAAATAAGGTCCCATTTAGTTCACAGGAATAAGGGTTTGGAATCAGAATCAGAATAGGTTATTCTGATTCCAATTATTTGGTTGGGTGGAATCGGAATCCCATTCTCATTTCTACTGGAATGGCATTTTCACACTTGAGAGAATGATCATTCCCTGCCCCTTCCTTGGGAATTAAATCTCATTCCTGTTTATTCCAATTCTCATTCTCATTCCTGTCTGAACCAAACAGACTATGAAAATATAGACCATTCCGATTTCGACTTTGATTTGATTCCGATTCCAACTGTGAACCCAACAGACCCTAAGATTTCGATTCAAATGGATGAATGCTGTTCCACCAAAATAAGGAATCAGAATCCTATTCTTCCCAATCAAATGGCTAAAATTGTAATAGGCTTAGGTTTGCTTAGGTTTACAGCATTTTTAATTACTTAAGGTAACTTGGACAACAAACGATTACAATACAGAAATAGAAATGTCTTTCTCTTATCTGCATCCAATTTTTGTAAGGATGAGAATAGGGGTGACAATGGGCCAGTTTTGGATTGGACCCCATCCAAACCAAAATTAATTTGGACGGATTGGACGGACCAACAAGACATAGTGAATTGGACCAGTCCAGACTTAATGGTTTAAAGTATATTTATTGGATTGGATTGGACCTGATCCATCTATAATGATTTGGATTGGATAAGAATATAGGTGTCAATGGACCAAGTTTGAATTAGAATTAATCTAAATTAAAACAAATTTGAACAGATTAGATAATCCAAAATAGTCAAAAATATTCATTGATTTGGATTGGACCTGGTCCATTTGTAATGGACTTACATTAGACTGCATCAGATTGGACCAAATCCAATCCAATTAACACCCCTAGATGAGAACTCGCAAATATGGGCAGACAAACCAGATCCATATATGAACATGAATTGGATCTACAGTTCTGAATGAGTGGTACTTCATATAACCTTTATAAATAAATGGGCTGCATCACATAAGGTGGGGCCTTTTAAGTCTTTAACCACTAGATTGCTGTTATAGGGGAAATTTTTAGAGAGAGAAGGTAGATGAATTTCCTAAAACTTATAGCCCTTAAAAGATCATAGTTTGATTTTTAAGTTCTATCAAAGAACTTATAGTAAAATAATGGAAGTACATATTCATATGCCTTGTTTTTTTATTTTTTTTTGCTTTCGAAATTTTCATCTCATGTGTATATGTTTCATTCGTTGAGAAAAAGAAAAAAAGAAGAAATCAAGAATCATGAATAAGAAGTGATACTGCAGCTGCTATTGTACGCTTGGGTGTGGTGTAGGGTATCGTATGCACCATCTAGGAATAGCAGGCACTCAGCATGGTGATGGAAGGTGGGCCTAATGAGGTTCCAAACGACTTGGAAACTTGAAGAGAGCCTCATGGTGATGAGCAGCGGCAGTCCCTTTCCTGATTCAAGCATGTCCTGCATGCTACGCCCAGCTCCATACATCGCCTTGTTCTTTGTTCCCACATACAGTTGGAACGTTGTGGAAGCATCTGTCTCAGCATATAATTTTGGACCCTACAATTAAAATCGATAACCAATTATCCACCATTTTAGGGTTACACATGTTCTTATAGGCTGTTTTTTGTATCATAGGATTGTTCAACCTAAAAACTTAAGGGTCCATTTGGTTTGCAGTTGAAATCGGAATCAGAACTAAAATTCTTTGAAATCAAAATTGGAATGGTTTATTCCCATAGTCAATTTGGTTCAGACAGGAATGAGAATGAAAATTGGAATCAGTAGGAATAAAATTTCATTCTCAAAGGAGGGGCAGGGAATGGCCATTCCCTCAAACGGGAGAATGCCATTCTAGCAGGAATGGGAATGAGATTCTGATTCTGCCCAACTAAACAGTTGGAATCAGAATAGCCCATTACAATTCCGATTCCAGACCCCTATTCCTGCGAACCAAATGGGGCTTAAATTGTTAGGTGAAGTTTCCGAATAGTTTTTTTTTTTTTAATTTTCTAGTATGCCCCCTTATGTGAAAATCCATTGGGCTTGAAGCATGGACAAGTATAGCCCACCTCATCTCTTCTATTAAGATTTAATTAATTATGATGGGGGCAACGAGTATTAACACTAAACTGCTTGGTCAAACAGGCTCTAATACCATATCATGATAGAGCTGCAATTTGAGATGGGTTAGGTAAAATCCAGCCCGAAAAAAGTAAGGTTGGATTAAAGATCGAGTTAGGGTTAGGATTGAAAAATATGAACCCAAATTAACTTTGAGTTGGATTAGGGTTGAGGCCTTGACCAACTTGAACCAATGTGAACCCGATATAACTTCATATTTGCATGTATAGATATCATACTAGTATGTATTTATGCATGTAAGTATTCACGTGTATACACGGTTACTATTCATGCATGCATGCATATGGAACAATGCATCTATAAATGTATACTTCTATATATTTATGTACTTTTTTTCACTACAATTATTTATGTATTTATATATATAATATATATTTATATATCTATACATATATGCGTGTTTATTGTATGTTAAAAATCTTAAATTTAAAGGCAATCTTTTTTTCTAGAACATGACAACAATATTCTTCTAGAATTAGGAAATAAGTACATTTGGTAAAAAGATGTAGAGAACTCAGGCCAACCCAAGACTAACCCGAACCCAACCTAACCCAGCACCACTTCCACCCCTATATCATGGAACCGTTAAATATATATAAAAGCTTAAGCTGTTTGCTAAGTTCTCCGAATAAGTTTTTATTCCCTAACATTTTGGTTCAAGGAAAATTAGTGAATTTTCATAAGAAAACAAATTATATTTTTAATTTTGTTAGAGGGAATAGTCATTTTCACCGTCAGTTTTACATGCAACCAAACACTAAAAAATAGCAAATAGCAACTTTTGAGTTTTAAGAGAATCATTGTTTAGCTATCATGTCGAGTACCGACCTTTTTTTTATCCAAGAGCCAGACCCCTGGGTTGCTTCAGCCCCAGAGTACATCAAAACCAGATTTAACCATCAGACTGATCAATCTGATCACCATTGAACCACGTAACAGGTAAATCTCTGCTTTTAGATTAATTTCTGATCAAATGCTGGTTGATCATGCTACAGTAGGGCCAGCTTTAGAGGAGGCTATTGATGGGTTAATTTGTATAATTATTAGTTTATTACTGATGACATGGTCCAGTGAAAAAGGTAAAGAGCATTGTAGAGATGTACCTCTGAACTTGCAATGAGAAGGTGGCCAAATGACATTTCCATGGTCGGAGGGCGAATGTGAAGTCTGAATAGCTTAGATCTGTTGTCGATGCTTAGATCCATCGAACAGTTGCAGGTGAGGATCTTGGTTGTAACACCCGAGTTATCAACTCCTTCTCCTAGTCCAAACTGGCGAATCCCCGCCATCTGCAACAGTAGATTACTTCACAATCAAACAGCTAGCAGAAGTGAGCAATCTGCACCCAAGTATGAATCGTTGGAAGCTGCAAAGTAATACCCACCTGGTTTTTCTTTTACAGCAATCGATCAGAATATAAAACCAGTACTACTATATATGAATTCTGAACTGAGAAAATGGATACCTTGACAGACATTTTTGGCGGAGAAGGCTTAGTTGCTATGAAGAAAACAAGCAATGCAGCTCCGAAGCTCACCAAAATCCTCCAGCTGATCTGAATAGCAATCCAAGCACAGGAAGAAGAAGTACTAAAAGAGAAGTACTTCCAACACCCACGTTTCCTTTTGTCCTGGTGACCAAAATAATCACGGTTCCTATCGTCATCTTCCACTCCATCAGCACAAATAATTGGACGGGTCTCGCCATTCTCTGTGCCAGTTTCATGACTCTGAAGGTCATAGGCCATCTTCTTCTCATGGAGGAAGGAATTGGTAGAGCCACGAGAAGACGAGTAGCGAGAGAGCGTAAATCGAGCGACTTCTTGGTTTGTGTTTGTGGGGTTGGTAATGAAGCTTTCCGATCGAAATGGAGAAAGAAATGCAGACTCAGGGTTCCGGCATTCACTGCTGTTGGCGTGAGAGACACTTGATGGACTCTGGACGTAGTAAACTGCACATGGGTAACTACTGAACAAAGCTTCTGGGTCTTCTCCGTCAATTCTGTGATGGTTTGCCATCTTGATGCACAGAGAGGGAGAGAGAAAAGATGGGCTTGTTGGATTCGATGCAAAGGAGCCTTTGAAGGGTTTTTAACTGCAAAGGAGACGTTGGAGGTTGGCTTTCTGGCTAGCTGGAAGATGGCTTGGCATGGAGTTGGTAGTTAGTACTCAGTAGCTTCTGTGTGGCTTCTTCTTAGACTACCATGCTGCACTCCTTTAATACATAACTGATCTAAGACTAAGAACTCTGTGGAGATGGAGATGAACTTTTAGACTTTTAAAGCCCATAGCCAACTCTCTGAGAAATGAAAGAGAAGCAGTGATCGAACTGTCAAGATTGTTTAATTAGTGTGCTTTGTATACGGCCCACCCACTGACTGAACAGATTGGTTTGTTATGGGGCCACGTACAGCCTATTAATTTCTAATAACTCTGTGCCTTCTGTAACCGAGTCAGGAGCCACACTCAGCCGGAGCCGCATGCCAAATTGTTCAGCCAAGCTCAAAACAAAATATGGTGTTGGCCCGAATTTCGTGGGGGGAGTCTCCTCCCAGATTTACTTTACACCGAATTGTTTCTCTTTTCACGACTGAAGAATGATGGCAAAGTTAGCATGCTTTGCACTAACTTAACTTTTTTTAATTTGGAAAAGAACGGAACAAGGTGAACAGTGAGCCCCTTGTCCTTTTGGAAAATTTAATATTCTGTATCTTAGAGACTATCCATGCTAGCTAGTCTCCAAAGCCACTATTAGGGAGAGTATAATTAGTAATCAATTCCTTACTATTTATTAAAGGGGGACAACAGGGAAGTGGCTATACTTGAATTTTCTTCCTTTGGAAGAGTTGATGGATTGATGTTTAAGGGTTTCATTTATAGTAATGATTTGGAGTGAGGATGAGGGGATTGAGATATGAATTTATCTTGGTGTTATAGTTCCCTAGCTTTTCTTTGCTTGTTCAAGAATTTATCTTGTAACACAACTGGGCCCCCCTATCAAAAGTTCCAAGAAAGGAGATTTTCCTAGAGTGTTGAGGGGTTCCTTTTGTCCCATACTTGCTCCATTTTTCCTTCCTTTGTCAGGGAGGTGGAATCATCCCGTAAGTTGAGAATTTGAACTCTTAGCTAGAGTCTAGGATTGACAATTCTTGGCTAGACCTGTCCATCATCTTCTCATACTATTCCGGTTTAAATTCATTTTTCTTTTTGTCTTAAATTTGTCTTTTTTTTGGGGTGGGCTATTATTGCATGCTATCCTAACCTACTTTTGAATCCAATCTCCTTCAGGAAGCTCAAATGAAGTCTCTCCGAAGGCACCCATTTTGTTTCCTGGTCATGGCTTGTTATTCCTAAAACTCCCAGTTTATATTCAGGTTGGAATTTGGTGGGGCGCCATCAATATGTAGGATCTGACTCAGTTCATGATCTGTCAGAATCAGGCTCAAAATGAATCAATGCGATAGTGGTCTTCAAACAAGAGTCGACCCAGAGAAATTCTTTCAATCAGAAGTATTTCTGATCATGATGCTCGGAGCTACAGAGATGGATTGGATTGGCAAAAAAACTTGAACATTTGTAAGGAGCACCTTAAAATTTCATGTTCATGGTCATTTCTTGGAGAAATAATGGTAAAAGAAAGGCAAGGATCATGGTCATTGCCTTGTGGGGCGTATGATTGACATTTATATACAGAAATAATGTCTTTCACCAAAGGTCATCATGAATAATTACAGTCCAACGAAAGAAAGAAAAGAAGAGAGAGAGAGAGAGAGAGATTTCAGTGAAGCTTCCTTTAGTAGCTTCTTCAAAGGGGCTCAGTGAAAGCACCTAAATCAAAGCTTTAGCCTTCCCAAATGGGCCCTAAATAATAACACCAAAGCCCTGAAAAGCTTTTAGTATTTGTCCTTTTTAGACTTCTTTATATCAACTTGAATTGCCTTCATGGCTATGGCAAGGCTTTCATGTCTACTTTGGGATGTCTGGATGCACAAAAGGGCAAAGGCATACTTCTTATGTCTGGTGTTATTTATATTTTATATTAACTACTTCCTGAAAATGGTAGTTATTTTTTATTTTATCTTTTTATATTTTGGACAATAATTCAGTAAAACAGACACAAAGACATATAACTAAAGTATATTTTACATGAACTAGACTATTTCATTCTTGCCAAGTCTATATCAATAAATGTCAAAATCAACTCCTTAATTTGGTTTTGCTAGTCAAACCAGAGTACTTTTTTTCTTTTATTATTGTTATTATTATTTTTTTGGAACTACAACGCTTTCCTCCATTTTTCTTTTCTTGTTGATTGCTTGATCCTTTGTTCTCTTCAAAAAGATTGTATCTCTAATATTTTAACCTTGTTATGTAGTTTATACCTCTGTAATATGGTTCTATTGCAAAACACCTACACATTTGTCAAATTTCCAGAACTTTGAATATTCTATGTAGTTGCAAGTTTTTCAAACAGAAAAAGGGCAGTTATTGCACATACCATGTGCAGTGGACTGATCAAAGTTATTGCACATAAATGAAATCTTGTAGTTTTTGCAGTCAAACAAATTCCTTTGCCAAGTACAGGACGTGATCTCTTGTAACTGTATGGCTTTTCATGGATAGCAAATATTGATTCTTGTCAAGGATCTGAATTTTCACATTGACTTGCGAACTTATGGATGTTAAACTTTTGTCCATTATCAAGAGAAATTAGACAATCACACGAGGATAGAAGATTTTGTGCTATTACTGATTTTCTTTCCTGGCTATTTGGAAAAATGAATCAAACAAACAAAATCTCTTACAATACAACTACCAATAATCGCCGCATGAGCATGTACCGTCCTCAAACCGATGGAACCTGTTGTTATCCCTCACAATGATAGTTCTTCCAGTACACTTGGATATAAATTTAACTGCAGTGTGGCAATCACCACAGACACGCAAATTTTTCATGATCCGAATTGGCCTTTCAGGTGGGAAGGTGACGAGTCCAAATGCTATTGCTAACCTCTCACTATGATACCCAATTGCCTGCTTCTTCTCTTCACCATCCACTTCACGTAAAACAAAACTGGTATCAGCAACATAACCAGCTTTCTCCATTTCCTCCTTCAGTTCATCCAATTTTTGATATATTTCCTTTGATTTCGAGTGCGATCTATCCCCTGCTGCAAAAGTGTGCACTCGATTCCCTTCTTCAACCCAACTCAATCCAGTTTCCTTTTTCATCCCTCGGTCTCTCAGCATCTTCCTTGCCATGGCTGCCTCCTCCCATTTCCCTGCAGCAGCATACGCATTTGATAACAAAACATGTAACCCAGGGCTCACAGGACCCAACTCAAAAACTCTGTCTGCTGCAAAGGCTGCCAATTCTGTGTTCCCATGGATCCTACACCCAGTTAACAAAGCTCCCCAGATTGACTCTGTTGGTTCAATTGGCATTTCCTTGATAACTGAGAGTGCTTCCTGTAATTTTCCTGCACGACCAAGTACGTCCACCAGGGAAGCATAGTGCTGCGCTCCTGGTTCAATTCCATACTCCCTCATCAGATGAAAGTAGAATTGGCCCTTTTCCACTAGTCCTGCATGGCTACAAGCATACAGAACACACAAGAAAGTGATGAAGTTTGGCCGAATCCCATCATTCTCCATCTGGTTGAACAACTGGAATGTCTTTTGAGTATGTGAATGTTGTGCACATGCAATCAGCATTGAGTTCCACATGCCAAGATTTTTAATGGGTACCTCATCAAACACCCGGAAAGCTCCTTCTATAACGCCACACTTGGAGTACAATGATATCAAAGAGCTTCCGACAAAGCTTGATGAATCGAAGCTCGTTTTTAAGCATAGTCCATGAATCTGCCTTCCCAATTCAAGGAGTGTCGAATTTCCACAAACCCGAATAACACTAGAAAAGGTAAAATCATTAACATCTAAATCCTCCATCAGAGCTTGTTTAAAGAGCCTTAAAGCCTCCTCGTCTTCACCCAATTGAGTATACCCATATATCATTCCACTCCAAGAAACAACATTCTTGTCCGGCATTTCATCAAACATCCGACGAGCATCTTTGATTTCCCCACATTTTGCATACATATCAACCATCGAGCTACCCACAAATACATCAGAATCATATCCCGTTTTCACTACGAGGGAATGCACGGACTGCCCGATATCATATCTCGACAGAACTGCGCACGATTTTGTCGCGCTAGGAAAGATATGATCATCAGGTCGAATTCCATAGTCGAGCATTTCGCGAAACAGCTCAAGAGATAATAAGGGAAGCTCATTCTGAGCAAAAGTGGAGATGATAGAGCTCCAAGTCGTAGACGACTTATGTGGACTTTCATCGAAAACCTGGCGGGAATCATGAGGCCGTTGGCATTTTGAATAGAAATTGATGAGGTGGTTAGAGATTAGAGCGATGGTCTGTAACCCAGACTTGATGACATGAGCATGGAGCTGCTGGCCCTTAGAGAGGGACCTGGAGCGGGTGAGGGAGACCAGAAGGGTGCATATATCTCGAAAATGTTGTTCGAAACTGGCTGGTCTTGGCGGGTTTGCTGAGGTTATCGTGAGATTGGTAGTTGTAGTATTTGAAACTGAGTTATGGGTTGGAGATTGAAGCGATCTTCTGGGGATTTGAAGGAGCATCAGAGCTTAGAAATTCTTGATTTGAAGCTTGGAAACATGCTTTAAAAAACTCTAAACAATGAATACAACCTCAAACTCTCTTGGAGCCGCCTCCTATACCTATTTGAAAAGGAGAACTCCTTGACTTGGGTTTATAATGGGCCACTGGGGCCCAATGAGATTCATTCTCACCCATAATCCACAGAATTTTGACAAATCATTCACCCAGATGGTGGTGGATATTATCGAGGAATTATTGGCTCTACCTGAGATTAGGATTTAAAGTTTTAGGGTTGTAAGGTTTAAAATTTAAGATTTAATTTCTAAAAGAATTATCCCAGAATGTAAAATGTAAGAAAAGATTTCTATATAACCATTTCTTCAACCTCTCTAACTCTAAACTCCTTCCCCCTCCCAAAATGGTACATAAACAAATGGGAAAAGAAGAGAAGAAATCAGACTAGAGTTGCTGAGATATTCAAAGACCCATATTTCATTTCTTCACACTTTGCTTAAAGCATGCATGTGGTTCATTTTCTTGGAAAAATGGACTCAAGAGACTGCTAGTGATTTAACCACACCCTTGGGAAAAATAACACTACTCTCTATGGCTGTTTCTACGGTCTTCACCAAACTAAAATGAATCAGCGATAATAGAAGTGTTTGGTTTAATAGAAAATAATAAAGACACAGAAAGTTTAGGGAAAATTCTCAGGAATTTTTGCAATATTCTTTAGGTGGAGTTTTGGAGTGTTTATTCTGATAAGCATTTATGAATGTTGGGTGAAAAAACACTTATTTCAATTGAAATTAGTATAGGCATCTTCAAAACGATGTGACGGACCAAGATAGACCAGAAAGGAAATAAGTAGTTATTGAATAAGCATTTAAAAATAAGTCTAAAATTTGGGCTTGTTGATAGGCTTATTTTCCAAACACGGGTCAGGTTGAGTCGGTTTATTGGCATTTTTCCAATCGATTCAATCTATTCGGTTTATCTAGAAATAAAACTGAAACCGATCCAGTACTAAGTAAAATCGACTTGGTCGGTTTGAATCGGTTTGGGTTGGTTTTGTGAACGATTCTCTTGGTGTGAATGGTAAAGGATTCAAGTCTAATAAAGCAAAGGCTGGATGCCTGTAAATTAAAAATGATTTGATGGATTAAAACTGATATTTTATATATCAAAAATTTTATATATAATATGTATATTTCTAAAATAAAGCTGATACATATATATATATATATATATATATCCACAAATATATATCTGAAATATATATTAAAACTGAAATATATCATATATATAATATATCTGAAATATATTATATATATAATATATACCTAAGTCGGTTTGGGTCGGTTCGGTTTCGGTTTTCACACATGAAAACCAAAACTGAACCAAACCATTGGTTTATGTTTTTTGTAAACCGACCGGTGCTGAAGAAAAATTGGCCAACTCGGATTAGATCAGACCGGGTTGGTCGGTTTGATCGATTTGGGTCTTGTTATGAACAGCCCTAATCCTATCCCAAAATAAATATTTATTCAAATAAGTACTTATTTTTAACTACTCCCAAACTTAACCTAAAAAATTTTCTCAATTTTCTGTCCTTCTCTTGTTTCCTATCAAACCAAATAGCATTGGGTCCAGCAAAATAATACCTATTTTGACACTTTGTTCATTAATTTATTTTATAATATATGACATTTTAACACTTAATGTTAAAAATAGTTAAATAATACCCAAAGTAATATTAGGGTTATAGCTAACAATTTATGATGTGGGGTGAAAGTATTATTAATGGAAACAGTAGTTACCATAGTTGTTATTTACCTACTTGGCTTCATATTCACCATATTAACTATTAATGGTCGTAATAACTGCTAAGCTCAACAAATTTACGAATTCTAAAGGAAGCTACCCAAATGATTCCTCCAATTTCATGCCATATTTTTTAATCCTGTCACCCATGGGAACTAATTATTGGATAGTAGGGGTGTCAATGGACAAGTTTTGGGTTGGATCCATCTAAATTAAAATCATTTTGGATGGATTAGACAGATCAATAAGACATATTGAATTAGACCAATTAAGACTTAATGGTTTAATATATTTTTTGAATTGGATTTGACCTAATTCATCCGTAACAATTTATGTTGGATTGGGTTGGATTGAACTAATATCAGGTCCATTAATAGAAGATAAGAATACAGGTGTTAATGGAGCAGGTTTGGATTAAAACCAATTTGAACAAATTAGATGGTTCAGACATTTTATTGGACTGATCCAAAATGGTCTAAATATTTATTGAATTAGATTGGACATGATCCATTTGTAATGGACTCAAATTGGACTGGATCGGATTGGACCAAATCCAATCCAATTGACACCCCTATTTAGAGTAGACATGCTAAAGTTTGTATATTTTAATTTAAAGAACACCATAAAGATGGTTTATTTTGTTTATGTGACAAGGATCTTAAGTTGATAACTTTCCCGGTAACGAAGGTTTCAACTTTCAAGCGGAACACTTTGGAGCCCTTTTGATCATTAAGCATATTTCCACGTGAAAGAATTCTAGGCCATTTTAACATACCTTCACTAGACATCCTGTCAATAGGTGTGCAATTTGGGCTGGATTAGAATGAATTCAACCCAAAAAGTTGGGTTTGGTTGAAGTTCAAGTTAGCGTTAGGTTTGAAAAATAGAAACCAGACATGACTTCAGGTTGGGTCAGATTTGAGTCTTTGGCCACCCGATCCAACACAAACCTGAAATGTCTCCATATTTGCAATTTTACATACACAAATATCATATTAGGGTGATTGGGTCCATTTGGTTCGTCGTGGAAATAGGAGTCTGAATCTATTTCTGATCCCAGGCATTCAGTTGGGCGGAGTGGGATTCTGAGTCCGAACCCGGGGAGTCATGCATATGTTATGAAATCTGATTGCCATTCCTTTCTAAATCAAACTAAGCAGGGGAATAAACAATTCTGATTTCGATTCAGAAGTTTTTAATTTTAATTCCAATTTTAACCATAAATCAAACGGACTCTTAATTTGCATGTTTGTGTGTGTGACTACATTTATAAATGCATTTATCTATACATATAAAAGCAAAAATTTTCTAATATCATATAAATATACATAACTTTTTCATGTCCACATAATAATGCTAAAGTCAGTTGACCTTGATTAGCTAATAACTTTGAGTTTATATGAAAATTTTAGGAGAAAGAAATGAAGAAACTAGGCCAATCTGATCCAAAATGAATTCGAAGTCACCAGGTTGGATTAAGGTCAAGGGTTGGGCGTTCCACACTTGTGAGTTGGTTGGTATTTGATGGCATTTGACGTAGGTTATTAAAAAAAATAAAAAGGCATAGCTAATTGGTTTTTGTTTTTTATGCTATAACTAAAAATTAAGGTTTAAAATTTCAATGGGATAAGTATGGAAATTGGGTGTTTCATCTTTTTTCATACGTATCAGACCGTATCAGGAGTTTATTGGGGCATATCGGGGTGTATAGACAAAAAATATATGGTCAAAAACTGAAAAAAAAAAGGGAAAGCAAGCTTCTTTTCCCTACAATAAGCCTTTTTTCATCCCCAAATAACTCTAAAACTCCAAACCCCATTCTGACAGTGCTAGATTTGTAAAATTTTGCAAGAAACAAATGTGAATAATTAATTTTTTTTGAAGATTTTTCAAATTTTGAAAAAATATGGAAAAATAGGTTAGTTTCAAATTTTTATAATATCTTGTGATTTCTTTTTTTTCTTGAATGTTTAAATTTATGTTTATCTACATTTCTTACACTCAAAATCACTTTTTTTTTTGTGTTATGAGTAGATTTATGGAAATTTCATGAAGATATTTGGGAAAAATATAAATTAACAAAAACTTTGAAAATGTAATTTTTTCTCTGCCTATAAAGACTAAATATGTTTTAGATCTATGGATTTATCTATCATATCCATAGAGCTATCCATAGAGCAATTGAAATTTCTTCTTTAATAATTTTTTATTTTTTATATTTTTAGAATTAAAAAATAAATAATAATTAATTATATTTTATCATTTGATCACAAAAATTGAAAATATTATAATTCTATGGATGATCTTTCATATCCATAGACCATTTGAAATTTCTTCTTTAATAACTATTTTTTTTTCATATTTTTAGAATTAAAAAATAAATAATTAATTAATTATATTTTATCATTTAATCACAATGATTGAATATATTATAATTTTATGGGTGATCTATCATATCCACAAAGCAATTGATATTTCTTCTTTAATAACTATTTTTTGAATATATTGTATAATGTTTATTTATTTTTTATAATATTTGGAAATAAATAATAAATAATTATTATTAAATATATTTTCACTTGGAAGTTGTGCCAATGCATGTTTTATGGTTGGATAGGAGAGTTGGGTTTTTTCTATCCCATAAAACAATTAAAACTTAAGAATTATAGTCTATGAATTATACTTAAGCATAGGATTTTTAATGAAATTATAATTAACTATAATATATTTCTTCATAAAACCATTAAAATATATTAATTTAATGTATATACACATCATTAAGGTCGTCTTATATTTAGTGTTATTGATGTATTTTTTTATGATTTATTAAAGTATTTATAGTGTTTCCAAGCGTATCTTAATTTATCTTCCATACCATACTTATCCCGATATATCTCTTAAAATTACCTTTTCAACACTTAATACTTTGAACCTTGCTTGAAACGTGAATAGGGGATTTAATACTGAAGATTGTAGGTCCCATCATACGAAAGAATGTCAAATAAAAGAAAATTCCAGAAAAAACATCAAAAGTCGCTTTGGCCGAGTGGTTAAGGCGTGTGCCTGCTAAGTACATGGGGTTTCCCCGCGAGAGTTCGAATCTCTCAGGCGACGTTTATTAGTTTTTTTTTTCCTAAATCTTTTAGTTTTCACTTTTTCATCTCTCTGATGATGATCTTCCCTTTGTGTAGATTTAATAAAATTAAGTCAATTCTGTACGCCAAGTGGGGCACATCACCATGAGAAGCCTACATGATGAGGGTGATGGGCTTTTCCTTGGTCTTCACCTGACAAGGACCCAACCTCTTTCCTTACTTGAGAGTTGATGAGAGTCTGATCTTGAACTAGTTTACTATTTACCAACTAATTAGTTTAAGCTGCATACCTAACAGTCAAAACATCTATAACTCTATATATAGCCTATTCACCAACTACCCTATTTAACAATGACTCCTGACCTCAATTATAAGCTTTCTGATCATTCTTTAACAGAATCTCTACCTCAACAACCTCATGATCAGAGCCATGTAACAGAATCTCCTCACCAACTAAGCTCTATTATGAAACTGATATGGATAGATAGCTTTGCTAGACAGGTCATCTTTTGGTAAGTGACTACTTTTGTTTAGTGAAAGAACAAAGACATCCAGGTGAGGCAATGACTCCCCACTTATCAGTACACACAACAGAGTATATATATATATATATATATATATATATATATATAGTTCACAATAAAACAAACTTGGAATTGAATCAATGCACGTATAAATCCCATTTGGGCAATAAGTCATATCCCCACATGGCTGAAATAGAAGTTGTTAAGAAAAAGGGACTCAAAGCAATGCTTTCTTCCTGCTATCATATGGTTAATTATTCTGATGTAAGAGATCTTTCTACCAATTAAACAAAATTATTATGAGTTGCAATAGATCCAACTGTTGATGAATTATTTATTCCATTTCATGCATCAGACTCCTATATATGTGTATAAGGCAAATTTTAATCCTATAATACATGGGCATGCACAATAACCACATTGGCACATAAACCATACATACTTTAGCATTCTCTCATGGTCATCAATCTTTCTTTTCCTTTTGAGTATGTTGAAGATTTTACAGAAGATGGGTCATCCAACATATGCTAAGTGAAACATTACCATGTTCTCAATCTCAACCTTCTAGTTTTTTTGGTAATGCTTCTGCTTTTATTTGGCAAAGCTATACTGTTGAAGCTGTTAAAGATGATCTTACATATTAGATTTAAGAACTAGAATTCCAATGTAATATGATGACAACAATGATGATCACTTGGGCTATGTTTGGTTTGATAGACACCAGATACATGCCACTTCTACCAACAATAGCTGTATAATCTCAAGTGGAGTCTAAAAGACTTACAAAAGTTAACTCCTTAATGCACACACATCATGTTAGTTATGGTATGTTGAAGTCAGGAAGGATTTAGAAATTAATAGAACAGTCGATTCTATTCCATAGTGGCAACCCAGCTAGCTAGGTGCCACTTCTACTGCTATTGATACAACAATAGAAGAAAGAAGAAACATGATTACTCATAATCCACACAATCGGAAATTGTATTAACTTAATCTTTTCGGCCTTTCCTTTTACTAATCATGAAGATACTTGCCTTTAATGGTTACATTTCCATCTAATTTTTGCACTGATTCGTCATCAATAGAATAAACCCAATTGGTTTCTTACACAAGTGGAGGGAAAAGAGTTATAATTACTCTTGGAATATAATAACCGGAATTATGAAAAACAAAAAATCATTTCACCATGAAAGCGAATAGACCCGGGAGTGTTAACGGTACATTCTCATTCCAATTCCAAGTGGATCTCTTTTTAAGTGATTAAAAAAGTATCCTTTCATTCATTATCACAGACAAGCATACACAGAGAGAGAGAAAGAGAGAGAGACTTCTATAGTTTCATAATTAATTAATCTGTGGTACAACTTACATATCTCCCACTAATAACAGCTTCGGTCCATCTCCAGATAGTTCCTTTTGTACAGCTCATAATAGAAACAATTTACCACCTAATTTCTATGCTGAATAAGTCTATTCACATTTCTCTTCACAAGTATGATGATTATTAATTGCACCAAACCCCTGCTGACAAAATGATCAAAATGCCCTTACCCGGGGAAAAAAGGCTACATTTTACTTACAAGAATTTTGTGGTCACCAAAATACATATTGTGTACGTGTGACCTTTATTGCAAGCCCTTCCCACACCATGTTCATGCCAACATTGTTGAATTGATGTAGAGAAACTGGGAGCTAGACCTAGAAAACATACACCTTGAAAATCTGCAGAGGATTATTTACAGTAGTTCTGTAATATTTCCTCCTCCAGATTTCCTATTGCATGGGTTTCAGGCAGATTTATGGAAAGCAAACTAAGGGGTTTCTACGTTTAAACTGTATATATTTTCTATATTGAAAGGAAGAAAAGGGATAAAAAAAAAAAGAAAGAAAGAAAGAGAGAAAGGGGTTGAAGGGTCACCAATTATTCAACTTGGAAATCAAGAAAAGGAAAAGAAGGGGCATCTTCAATCAGATTCCCCAAATCCCATTCCCCCATTCTGAAGTTTTCTCCTTCCCAGCAGTGAGTACTCCCAACACCCATCACTCCCTCTACTTTGTTATTGCTTTTGTGGGTGTTGTCATTGTTGAAGTTATTGATGGTGCTAAAATTATTAACATGGTCGTTAATGGAATTCCTGGGGATCTTATGAATGTGAATGCTATGATCAGTTGCAGTATTCTTTTCAAGGATTATACTCTCCAATGAAGGAACAAAGAGCTCTCCTCCTAACCCATTAATGTCACTACTTCCTAGCATCCCATGAACCCCATAGAACCCATCTCCCACCCCACCACCAGCTTGTGTTAAGCACTGGGATACATTGAAGTATCCTGCTGTTGCAGAAATATTGTCGTAGCTGCAGTTGTGGAGCGGAGGCAATGTCTCAAACTGCAGGTTGCTCATGGTCATCGCTTGCATGGGTGACGACGACGACGAAGAGCTCGAGTCCATGCACATGGCCATGATGTCATGTTCAGTCATGGAAATGAGCCCTCCCATGACATCTACTCTTGGCTCTGATGAATCACTGTTGTTTGGTGACGATGTGGACGATGAGTTCTTCAGCCTTTTCTTTATTGTGGAGTTCCAGAAGTTCTTTATTTCGTTATCAGTTCGTCCCGGCAACCGTGCAGCTATCTGAGACCACCTGGATTGTTTAGTTTAAAACAATAACATCAGATACAAGAAAAAGTGTAGAAGAGAAGGAATAATGGAATCTGTTTTATTTATTTCTTCTTTAAATGCATGGTTTGCGTGGATGCTTAAGGACTAAAACTGAATCGAGTGTGTAGTGTCTTCAACTCAAAGAGCAGATATAGACTGCTATATATTAGCTAGACCAGTGTCTTTTTCTGTCTCATCTCATCATGAACACTACTTGAGCATATTAATGCAAATTCAGAGAGAGAAGAAAACATATTTAAGCATATATATAAATCAAAGCAAATTTATAGAGAAAACACAAACACAAAAACCTGAAAATCTTACAAATGCAAGAACAATAAGAAAATGGAGATGGACTCAAGCAGATCTGAGTGCACTATATCATAATTTCCACGTACATTTTGTGAAGAATATCCTTTTCCTTGCATCTGTGTGTGTGTGTGTGGATCAGAGAGAGAGAGAGAGAGGACCTGTTGCCGAGGAGGCTATGCAAATGGATGATGAGCTCTTCTTCCTGGGGAGAGAAAGCGCCACGCTTGAGATCAGGCCTCAGGTAATTAATCCATCGAAGACGACAGCTCTTGCCACACCTCTGCAAGCCAGCATTCCTGGCAACGTCGCTCCAGCAGCCCTGCCCATTGCTGAGCATGTAGTTCATGAGCTTGTCATCTTCTTCGGGTGACCACAAACCTTTCCTGAGCTTGGTGGTGTTATTGCTGTTACTACGGTTGTTCTTCCCTGGGTTTTCAGGTTTCCTCATTTTGATGACAAGCTTTCAATTTGATCCCCTGGAGTCCTTGTTCTAGAACAAGTGTTTTGATGTAAGGGAGAAAAGACTTTATATATAGGTGAAAGTTAATGACATGGAGAGATTGAGATATCTGTATAGACGAATATAGATGCATATATACACACATACATGAGAATGAGAGAGAGAAGCTTCATGGAGAGGGAATGATGATAATGATGAGTGTGATGGTTGTGGGGTTTGCTTAGAAATATGGAGAAGAGAGAGAGAGGAGGGGAGAGGGGTTGTTTGGTTGATGAGTCTAGTGGAAAACGGTTTGGAGGGGGACCTCCTCGGAAAGTGAGAGGGATGGGTGGTCTTCTTGTCTTTGACTCCATACCTTGTCTTTTTCGATGCATTTTTCTTCACTCACAAGGTAATCATTATACGTGTCCAAGGGAGAAGAGATAAAATAGCCCAGTTGTTTTGTTACCAAGTAAGATATATTTGCTTCGAATTCACATAATATCATCCCTCTCTCTCTCTCTCTTTCTCTCTCCAATTTTTCACTTCAAATACACGTGTGGGTATACACATGTAAGAGGGAGAAAGGAAGAGTACAAGGATAACTTTTGTACCATTCTTTCATAATAAGCTGCTGCTCTGTGTAGTGTTTGCCTTCTTTCCTCGTCCTTTCATGCTCATCACTTGGATCTCAATTGAGCCCCTTTCATTGGCCAAGGCTCAAAAAGGCCCAGATATATAGCACTCAAACCCTTTCTCCTACTACAAAGAAAAAGAAAAACAGAAAGGAAAAGAAAGAACAACTGAAGAGATAAACATGAAAATCTTCATATATTCCATAAAACGAAAATGAAGGAAGAAAGAAAAGTTACCATCCTCCACACACCATGAAAATACTAGTAAATAGATGATTATGTCCCCTCCATGGTGTGACAGCTCCATGGAATTCTTATCTCAAACAAAAATCAAAAACAACAGTAATCTTTATGTGGGGCCTTATTTAATTTGTCTCACTCAATGCGTATCTGAATAATTAAAGCTCATCTTTTTTTTTGGAGGGGATAGCTAGGGAACCTGAATTAATTTTTATATAAATATATTCTCTTTTCCTATACATGGAAAAATTCAGAAATGAATAGTTTGGAAGCAGAAACAAAAGACATTGGTTGTCAATACTTGAGCTAGGTAGAGAAAATGCCAAAGGCAAAATAACTGCTAAAGATACATAATTTTTGTTTTACATGAACAAAATTCCAGCATTGTGTAACAAAAGTCAGATTGTGACTATGATAAGCATATAAATTTGTTTGCTTGTAGTCCTTACAATTGTACCGTACTATACGCACGATGGAACATTGTGGCATTTCAAATGGGCCCTCACATATCAAATATCAATATACGGTTGGGTCCTTTTCTTTTCATATAGGTTTAAGATGGTACAAGAAAATTAGCAATTTTTCTTGGTTCATTTTATTGAGTGATAATCATTATAGTTTTGGAATCCTAATTGATTTTGATGGTCAGATGTTTAGCGTAGAAACTGTCCAAGCAACTAGTTTCATTTCATTCTTAAATTGTTCTTATATTAAAAACCATTGATTTGATCAGTAATTCATTCACCTATGTGATCAAATCATTAATTCATTTGACCCGAGCAATAATTTTTTATTATTATTTTTTTTTAAATTACAATGGATCACTTTGGACTGGACCATCAAACCACTAACCCAAAACCAATGACCAAAGCGATTCCAGTTTCAGGTTGGTTTTCAAAACATTGAAATAATCATTTAATAGTAGCAATTAAGTATCCTAAAAAATTTTGTATGTATTACTATTCATTGGCCTTACAACACAGAGCCTGTAGTTATATGGATTTGATCTCATGCCTCCGATGCCAAATGACCATTCAAACAATCAGGTTATTAGCCAATAGGATATGTTATATGTTACATCAAGGTTCAAAATATCGTTACATATCGGGACCTTTCCGATACACCCCTACTATCTGGAACTTAAACTGATCTCTCTAAACCGGTTTTGAAAAAAAAAATAAATAAAACATAAAAAAGCACTAATACAGACTAATCTGGCGTATCGTTCTACATCATATTTAGAACATTGCGTTGCATAAACATATGTGCAAATGTGAACATGGACTGAGCTACATAAATAATCCTGTTTTGTCATTATATAATTCCATTTTATCAGGGGCAATGGTTATTGTTAAATTGGCAATATTGACAAAAATAAACGAAATTTTTATAAAACAAACGAGTCTGGTAGCTGAAGTCATTCTCAGCAAACATAAGAAAATTGAATCACGAGGAACACAAGAAAGAAATTGTACACTAGATTGAAAAATCCCTTTTGAATGTAACACAAACACGTTTCTCTTTTAGCTTTTTCAACTTTTAGCTTATTAGGTGCAATACTAAACACATTTATTTAATTAAATCCAAGGAAAACAAATGCTGCAAGTTCTTCAGTTTGCATCACTTTTTTTACTTGTGAACTCTTTTTTGACATTCCTTATATGCTATGTTATTTTTTTGATTCATTTTACAGATGGGCTCCTAGAGTTTTGCTTGTTTTCCCAAACTCTCATAGTAGTAAAAGTGCTACAATATTTTCTCCATAGCTAAAACTCTTACTGAAACTAGTTGAAATGCCAGAGTATACTGGTATAGTTCTCTCTCATTCCTTTTTAGAAGCACTTTTCCTGTTGAAGTAGCAAGTACTTTTTACTTTAGAGAATCCCAAAGAAAGTAAAAAAAGAAATATATTGAGGATTTCACAAGAATAATGGACTCGACAAGTTGAATTTAGGGATTGCCTACTTGATACGGAATGATGCTGAACAGCTGAAGTAGTCAGTCTGATGAGTAGACTTTAAGCTATCAAATTACAAGAAAAATCCACGAGTTTTGATGCCCGCCAATGATATGTGATGGATGTTTCAAAATTTTCTGGTAGTGGTTTAGGGATCATTTTCACATAGAAAGTGAAAGATCTCATGGACTGATAGACCTAACCAATCAAAGCATGAATTTTGGATCTTTATCAAAAAAGCATGCTTCTCAGTTGGTAAGGTCTTTAGCTGGTTGTAGTGGAGACTTGGCATCGAATCCCGCTTTCACCAGGGTTGGGACTTATGGACTACCACTATTGTATAGCTCCATAAATTAAACAAACAAAAAATAAAAATCATGAAGACTGTGATGTTTGCTTCTCCTTGGAGTCTGCAACTGACTGATTTTGATGCTCACTCCTTTAAGCTGTGTTTGGTTTGAAGGAAAAAGTAGGGAAAGTTTTAATATTAGCTTAGTGAGTTCATTTTTCTTTGTTGTCAAAGTAATAATATTACAGGGGAAAGTTTGGAGTTTCTGAAATGGATGGCTGCTTGCTGTTATTATATCACCTTCCAAAGTAAACAAGAATCTCCAGAGTGATTATGTTTCTAGTGATCTCAGAATGAATGCATTGTTCATCTGTTATTTATGGACTCCTCCACTCTCAGCATGTTTGAAGACCAATTGTGATGGGAGAAATCAATTTGGATTTGTGTGTTATACTGATCAGAATTTGGTGTATTCTGCTGCAGGTAGAATTTTTTTCCTATATCTCAAAGGGGCTTTAGTAGCAGAGTTGGTGGCAATCAATCTGCATTGGAGATTTTGAATTTGAACCTAGTGTTGCCATTTCAGGATTAAGAGGCAATAAAAAACTGGGTTCCCATGGACATGCTCAGCTCCTGGTTGCTGGACAGCATCAACACTGCTTTCATAATTTACTATTTTGTTGGCAGGCTAATAACGTCACTCAACACTTTTGATTAGAAAGTTAAACATTTTACTTAAGTTATTTGGATTGATGATAATCTACCTATTTGTCTTGTAGATGGACTTTGAATTGATTGTATAATGCTCCTGTTATTTAAGAGATATATTAGTTTGATCATTAAAAAAAAAACATTCTCGCTTTAGTTTTCCCTTTATGATTTGGATGACATGTATCTCAATCCCTCGTCATTCCTGAATTGAAATTATCATTTTTAGCTAAAAGAAAGAAAAGTTTAAACCATGAAAAATCCATGCCATCAATCTTAAATTCTTAATGCAAAGCTCATCAAACTGTAATGCAAATGCAAGTTTTCAACTTAACCACAAAAATATATGATGGCTGTTTAATGGTGAAAAGGGTTTACTAGTCGGGTCAAGTAGGGAGATTCCTTACACAGACCACCTATCTCTGCCACATGAAGGGGTCTTGTCTCTTCTGGCCGATTCAGATCATCTATAAGATAGGAGTTCCACTGAACTTGCCACATTTTCAATTTCAAAGCTCACATCAGAGATTCCTTGAAGGTAATTTCTATGATGCCGGAAGGGTTCTTTAACCAATCAGAAAACCAAATTCCTTTCCTCTTCTCTCATTGAATGCCTTTGTCACTGCTGTTGGTTATGGATTGAGCCCTAGTTTGGGAATGCTTATTTTTAAGAGCTTATTGGAGTGAGCACTTGTTTGAGGACAGGTCCATACCAATAAGCACGTATGGGCATTTGGCAAATTAGCCCCAATAAGGGCTTATTCTTAGAAATAAGCCCGTTTCAAATAAGCATTCAAGAAGGTGTTTATTTTAAGCATTACTGAAAAAACCACTTATGCTTCTTGACGTGTCATGGTCCGTGAAAAAAAAAAAGCACTTTTTCACCAAACACTGACGGAAGATTGCACTTTTACTGTTGTCTCAACGGTTGCTTATGCTCACAAATTTGATGCCTTCATTAGGATCGCCGTGGACGTTGCCTTGTTTCGTTCAGTGTCCCTGCTGGTGGTTTCATTGATGGACATCGTCTATACACTTTAAAAATGGAACTATGGTCTGAGAATCAAGATGAATCACATTCTTGACATCTTGCGTTTTAATCATTATGAATCCCATTCTACTTCATTGTCAGTATTGTGGATATGGGCATATGCATCATCGTTTTGTACAACATGGCAAACATGCTTTCCTTGATAAAATAAGTACACCAAAGATCTGAAAGCCTAGGTTGTCAACGAGAAAAAAACGCCAAAAGTTCTGACTGAGATTCTTTGGAGTTGGCGATCAACCTTACATAGGAAGGTGAAAGCGGCCATTTCGTACAAAAATTTGCTTGAGGTTGGTTTTTATCCAGCCCACCACTCCCAAGACCCCAGATGGCTGAACCAAGGAGTTGCCCGAGATTGAAGGGGATGTGTAAGAGAAAAGCTTAGCAAAGAAAATCTATGAGAGAGGGAGTGAGAGTAGAAAAATAAGATTCAGCAGGTTTTGTCCCCAAACTAAGTAACAGAATAATAATAGTCATCTTCTTTGTAGATTTTATTTTTAAGAAATGGAGAGCCCACCTCCATGAAAGCAGGAAGATAAACAATTCGGGGCTATAAACAAAAGGAAATATTAAAATAATTAAAAAAAAAAACACTTTTTTTGGTGCATCGGCATTCGACAGGATTGAAGCAGAAGTAACACAAAAGTAGGGGGTTTCCTTCAGAGGCTGTCGAAGTTGATGGGCTCCCGTAGGAACCGTTCCATCTGTCTTGCTCTGGTCTTAATTGACATGTCAAAGACCTTTTGCCCAAACTCCACGACCAATCCTCCAAGAATGCTAGGATCAATCTGCCAGATGTGTCATGTTAATCATCCTTCTCATAAACAAAAATAAAGGATTAAAGCTTGGCTTCCAAAGTCCATGTTTTCATGTTCAAGAAGGTGGGAGGTAAGCTAAATTCAAATCGATGGTTCCAGACTCAAAAGCCAGCCAAGGGTAGATCACAGAAAAAAAAACAATTAAATAGTCCAATTTGTTTATATTGGCATGTAATTATCAAAAAACACTTTTTTTGTTATTCAACCATTATGCTAATCCCGCCGTCACAATGGTTGGGGGGTGGGTTCGGGACTTCAGGGACAGCCACCCCCCGGTTGTGTTGTGCAGCTCCATGGTTCACTGGATTCTTTTCTCCAACCGTAAAAACCAAACGCCGCCATTGAATTTCCTTCTTACAAGTCCAAGTCATTTACAAATTAGTTATGAAACCACCAAGCAATATTGCTAGCGTTCAACATGATGATGAATTTACTTAACATTGATTGGACATTTTTATCCAATACATTACATTCCATATCCTTCAATCTTTTGTACCTAGATGGCTATATTTACAAGTTGAAAAAAGCAAAACATGTCAAAGGTAAGGTGGTTTTTGTAGCTAAGATAGACTAGAATATGGTGGTTCCATAACTAATTAATACCACTTTGATGGCAATTTCTAAGAATACCAGAGAGGCATCTTACATGAAAAGCTTAAACCAATCAGAAACCCACGTGAGTTTGAATGAATAACTCCTCATCTGATACCCCTTTTTCAGGAGGGGGGTTACAAAGAAAATCCTAGAAAAGGTTTCCTAATTCAGTCAAGAAGGGAAGCAATCTAGACAATTCTATTTATTTTTAGACTGATCAAAAAAAATAATTCTATTTATTTTTAGACATCGAAGATTTTGTGGCCAAACTAAATTATCCATTGCATAAGTCACCCTCTAGCTTGGTCACATATAAAAAGTAAAAACCCCTAGGTTTACACAATGTTTTCAACATGTCATTGACCTGGCCGGTCAGACTAGTGACCCAGTGGCCAGGTCACAATACTGGTTCAGGTAAACCTCCAACCCACTATTTTACAAAAAACCATTGACTTGGTGGTTGAACTATTGACCCATCTGTCCCATCCAACAGGTTACCACATTATTGTATTATTTATTTTGTTTTCTGAAGTTTCTTATGTTAATGACATCATTCACAGGTTAACCATTGACCCAGACACTTAAACTGCTGACCCATTCACCTGTAGGCTGTAGGGGAGAACAGTTCAAGCTCTGGCCGGGTTTTAAAACACTGCATCTATATCAGCCAATATCCCTACCTTTACCTTGTACTTACATTTGCATAACAACATAAGTACTAAAAAATTATCCCAACTACCAAATCTCATGTTTCTGTTCATGTATAATTATGCGTATATGTCTATTTGTATAGGTATTTCTATGTATTTATTTATGTGTGTTTATGCAAAAGGAAATCCTAACCACCCTACTCTGACAAGAGGATAGCATTATCACCATATGTTTTATCAATTAAAATGCCCTTTCTCAAGGTACCCTCTATCTAGATAACTAAGACGCAGTTTTTCTTTTTCACTTCACAAAGAAAGACACCATGTTTTATGTGGTAAATACCTTCTGTTCAAGCTTAACTGTCTTCCCTTGTCCAATAATATCTTGCAGTGTCGCCTTCAGTTCTTTCTCCTCTTCTGGGGGAAGGGGCTGCGAAAAAGGTAAGAAAACCCCATCAATAGCTTTTTTTTGGATCATAACAAAAAGTTTTCATTAAAAATAAAAAGACCCATGGGAAAATAATTGAAAATTAATAGACAAGGACCAAAAAGGAGTCTCTGACTAAAGGGCTTTTCCAAGCATTCAGGAACCAAATTAACTAAATCATGCAATGCACTATTAACCTAATCATTACCTGGCTGAGGCTAGAGATATTCTGAGTGCTATCAATATAAATCTGTTTTGGATTCCAAGGGATTTAAATTCTGTACATCATGAGTAGTAGTGAAATAACATCCCCTCCGGAGAACGAGGAAATTTCACCAAGTTTCAGAGGAATTGTGAAGTGTACTCAGTGAGTGAGAGTTATCTTATTTTCAACTATCAAAAAATAGCATTAACTTTTTCATGAGGTTCTTTGCTGCTCTTGGAAGATAAGTGTGTTTGTCTTCCTCTTGTAAATCTTCTATTGATGATTTAATGAAAGTGTTATTGATCAAAAAAAAACAAAAATAGCATTAACAGTTACTAGGATTCCCACGTACAGATTATATGATAGGAAAAAAGATCTAAAGTAGAAAATCAAAGAAACGGAACAAATATTCTTCCCAAGAGTCAAAAGTGAAATAACACTGAAAAAAATCTAAAAAACTCCAGGAGACACTTCTACTGTCCCAGGTTGGGCAGGTCACAAACAATCTTGCAAAGAACAGATAATTGAGGGAACTCACTAATTTGAAACAGAAATTCAGCAAAGACACTCCACATACATTACATGTGGATCCTTATGTGTCTCAAAGTAGTGATGTGGCAAATTCCTTTGAAATATATGATATAATATGAGTAAGTCAATATTTATATGTGTGTGAAATAGGGAATAAAAATGTCATTTCCGCTAAATAAGCACTTATTGGGAAGTGGCTCGCCAAACATTCTCACCCCAATAAGTACTTAAAACAAGTACAAGTGGTTTGGAAAAGGGGTCGCCAAACAGCATTAAGTACTTAAAAAAAAAGTACTTGTGCAACAAGTACTTATTTCTCAAACCGCTTAATCACCAAACATAGCCATACTAACCTTGCAGAACCATGCATTGGAACTTGTCCAAATGGAGAGATAAATTGAGTCTCTTACTTCTTTTGCCCAACTATCCTAGGAACAAGCGCACGATAACTAAGAAGCACAATTGTTGGGAAGAACCATAGGACAAGTACAAATTAAATAAATAAATAAAATACTAAACTATAAGCAAATTTTATTTTTATCATTGACGAGAACCATAGGACAGTTGGGAAGAAATATTTGTTCGGCCTTGGTCCAGCCTGGCTCATGATCACCCAGAAGTACCATTCCCTAAAGAATCTGACACATGTCCAACATGAACATTTTGTCATTTAGGAGAATCGATGTAAAACCTCAAAATACATCCAGTTAGACACTAAAATGCAAGTTACAAAATCATGCCAATATTGTTTGTATTAATGAAATGATTCATCATTAACCATCAAAAAAATAAAATAGCCATGCCTTTTTTTTTATCAGCAATAGTCATGCCAATGTTAAGAAACAATTGTGCTCTTAGCAATGAACTATAAGAAATTCCGAGCAGAACTTACAATGACAGTTGTCACAATGGCTTTCACCTCTTTTTTGTGTTCCATGGTCAATTCCAAAAACCTCTTTGCAATATTCTCAATGTGTCTTAGTCTCCCATTGTCAGCTAAAACACCTGGTGTACATAAAATCAGAACAAGCACAAAGTATAATAAGAAAAACCTTTCTAAAATTTAACGCTAGTATGGGCATTGTAAAGTCACACGTCAAAAAAATATTTGGGAACGTCTGAAAAGGAAAGACAGCAGAAGACCAACAAACAACCAACACCATAGAATAAATCTTCTATATTTTTACAAGTATGAATCAAATCCCACTAAATGTCGGTGAAAACATTCTATACGGAAACACAATAAATGCAAAATCACTATCTCAACACAACTCAACCAAGCCTTGTCCAACCACATATGGAAGCACAATAAGTGAAAAATAACTATAATACAATAAAAACAGAACAAATGGTCTTTTGCAAATAGTACAAGATAGGTATTATGAGCATAAAATATCATACAGAAATATGCACCTAGTGGGTCATGGTTTGAAATGGTTGGATATACACTACACAGAATGACCCAAAAACAACAAAATGGAAGACAATAACAAGCACCAATGTTTAAAGAAACATATTTCAAAAATTGAAGATACACCAATGGTTAAAGAATCAGATTCTTTAAAATTGACAAGTCTGTCTTAGAACCAACAGACAAAGAGAAACATCTGAACAGTTAGCCAATCCAATGTAAAGTTGGAAAAGGCAAGTAATGATGAGGTCAATTTTTGCAACCTACCTCTTCTCACAGCAATTATATTGAGCATATTTTCTATGGCCTAAGATAAAAAACAATCCAAGATTCTTATATAACCTCCTCCTGGCTCCTACATTGAAGCGTAAGTCCTATATGATCCTTAACTCTGTTTTCATGAAAGGACACATCTAAATGGCAATAACTTCATAAAAAGATTCTCCTTGTTATCCTCATCTATAATCCATAGGTTAGTTAACCCATTATTTAGCTCCCCTGCAATATAATTCACAATGTTGAGTGATACTTCCACCTTGTCCCAACTATATGGAACTGGCTAGATGAATCTTGTTTTGCCACTCCATCTGTTCAGTGCCATATCATTATTAAATTATGGGCACTTAAACCATTTCTTATTACTTCCACCCAAGTCCTTTTCGGTCTGCCTCTAGCTCTTCTACCTCCTTCAACTTGTAACAGATCAGACAGCTGGATACAGTATCGGAATATGGACTTCATGCTTGAAGCTGGGTTTCCTATCTAATTTTTCTGTAGTACTGGAAACAAACCTCTGCAACATTCAAATCTTTGGAGCTAAGAGAAAATACAGCTAAATAGGCCAATAAAGAACCTCTTACATGTTCAAATTGAACACCCAGGAAAAGTTAAATAAGTCTTATCTCAAACAAATTGAAGCAGCTTCAAGGGTCCTTCTCAAGTGTTCAGGCATTCCACACCATCAGGGCAGATCTTCTGCTCAGACCTGAGGTCAACTGACTTTTTTGATGAGTAGTCTCTACTGGCTTCCAACCCACATTCTTTCCTTACTTCATGTAATCCATATTTTCTGTAGTACCAGAGACAAACCTCTGCAATAATCAAATCTTTGGAACTAAAAGAGAATACAGTTAAATAGGCCAATAGAACACCTCTTACATGGTTACATGTTTGAGTTGAACACCCAAATAAAGTCAAATAAGCTTTATCCCAAACCATTAGCTGCAGTTCATGGATCCTGCTCGGACATTCCAACCATCGGGACAGATCTTTTGCTAAGTGACAGGACCTGAAGTATCCACTGACTTTCTACTGATGTACAATCACCACATGGATCATAGGCTCAGCCCTCTTCAATGAAATTTTCAAGGTGCCAGCCATCAGAACCACCTGTCATAATCAAGCAATCAATCACCATATGAGAATCCCCTTTCTCCAATCTACATAGCTCTCTTGATACCGAAAGAAATACTTTGAGCCCTGCATGAGGGATAATACCTCAGTTCTGAGGCCTTGCAGAATAGATAAGACCTAGCTTTGACAAAATTCCCTCTACAAGTGTATCTAAGAGTATGGCAGTGTATATTGAACTTTCAAGAGTGATAATAACAATGCAATGCACCAGCATGAATCTTAGTTTAGTCGCTAAGGCAAATATGGACAACATGATTCTACACTATGCAAATAAGTCATGTGATAGACAATAGAAACAGACAATTTGATCTCTCTTTGATGAGGCAAAAGAAAAACACATTTAGAGCAATTTGTCAAGAAACCCCCAAAAACAATCAACAAACAAGATATCATGGGAGCTGCTAGGAAAAAGTTTTAAGAAAATGCATATCTTTTAAAAAGTTTTAAGAAAATGCATATCTTTTAAAAACAAGGTCTCTCAAAGGCCAAAACAAATAAATATCAAACAAAATTGAGCAGAAATTCCAAAGCCAAAGGCCTGCACACAATAATATGGGAGCCATGTTGAAATATCCATAAATCATTGAAATGCAGAAATACTGTAGTTTCTTCATACAGAAAAATGTTTTATAAAGAAATGCCTATTGGTAAACGCAACATAATTCATTCTTGCATTCTTTAAAAATAGTTTCTAAGTTTTGTAGATAGAACCAAAGTCCCCCATGAACTGTTTGAACATACCAAGAAAATTTTTTGTGATATCTGAAAATTTAGCTTCAGAACAAATTTCACTTATAGCCTTTACTCTTGTCTCTGCAGGCACTGACAAATCCTTTATGAACTGAGAAAAGGTAGGACTTTTCTTGGAAGCCTCAACAAGATCAAGAATCTCAGTCTCAACTTTATCCAATAAATTAGCTTTTGTTGCTGAGAGATACAAGGCAGATGCATAGTTGCCAGACACTCCAAACAAAGCTAGAGGCACCTGAAATATTAGAAAGAATCAGAAGGTCAATATTGGAAGAGATAAAATCAAGTAAATAAAACAGTTTAAGTATAATTCTCTCTTCGGAAAAATAAGATTGAACACCAAGGAACCAGACCCTGATTCAACTTCTTGAGGGTCATCCAAGAAAATAGGAAAGATACAGAGATCCTGGTCCCACATTACAAGCTAAACTTCCCTTTCAGGAATGAAGCATATTGATTGTCATGGTATTACACTTGTATATGCTGACTATATGGGGATTATACTTGTATATCACCAAGGTATTATGCTTTTGACTGATGAACAATTTGACTTCCCAAAAAACATATGCCTTGTTAAGCATGATTCTGTCCTGGAAGAAGAAGGCTCTCTAGAAAGGCTTTTCAAGGAGATCAGAAGCTTGTTGGTAAGGGAGTTGACTTTGCTAGTTTTCACAGAGAATAGTAAAACCACGTCACTAGTGTTACTATTAAAGTTCAAGAGTTTATGAAATATGGGAGATGCAGCCTTGTCATCCACTGTGAAAAGGAGTACTTCCTCATTTATAAAAAGAGCAGAAGTTTTTTTCTCGACGCATCTGATGAAACCAGCGAAGCTTATCCTGACCATTGAATCAATGTATAGGGGCAGAGACACAAAACTCGGAGTTCACAGTTGTCTTAGCAACGTCCTCAGCCAGTATTGGTACTTAGTTGCTGGTCTTACAAAGGTCAGGTTTGGATGGGCTTTGAGGTGACGATGTTTTTGATAGCCAAAAAGATGGATCATATCCACTCTTTTAAGCCAGAGGACAAGTTTATGATGGATAATCAGCACTCTGAGTTTCTTGCCACTGAGGGTACTTCTGTTCCATCTCTAATTAATCAGGAAGTTGGTTTCTCAGATGAGGCATGGACCATTCAAGCAGACAACCTTAAGGCCTTGCCAAAACTTAACTCAGTTGAACCGTGTGGCTTTAGATCCTATCTTTCTGAACATAATTTTGATGTTTGTGTTGATTTTCCTAACACCTCACAATGTTCACCTTCTTGTGATGATGTCTGTGAAAGTAACTCAATGAACAGCAATCTTGGATTCTGAACCAAAGTTCCAAATATCAATACAGTCCAGTACACCAGATGAGGTATATCAGACTTTACCTCAGGGTGCTTTATATTTTTCTTTTTACTTTTTCCTTCAAACTTGTTCAGGGGGGTTGGTATAAGGCCTGACCAACAGATACAATACGTATCAGCTGACACGTTGCGAAATTTTGATCCTTGTACTGAACCGAATACAAAAGGAGTGGATGAGAATTCAGACCAGAAGGGTGGGGGTTTCATTTCAAGTATACAAAAGGAAGCTAACACTAAGATTGAAAACTGGCTAGGGAAACTGCTAGTGAACTGTATTTAAGTTCTAGTCATTGTGCCATGGGAGGAGTTTGACTCTAATAGTAGGACTTATATTTGGGGAATGGCAGTGTATGTTGGGATCAGAAGGGTGGAAGATCATACAGGTGTGAATCTGAAGGAGTTCTTGAGGGTTTGGATGGTAACCTGATAGAGAGTTTGGGGTGAGTTTGTCTCAACCTAGCTATGCTAAATTTTTCTTTTAATTCTCTTTTTTTTTCAAAAGCAGTGCTCACTTTGATCAAGTGTCTGTCTTGCCTTACACCTTGTACCTCAAGCCTTATGAACCCCTTGTTCTTTAGTTGTGTTTTTTGCGTTTAAAACACTGAATATGACAATACCAAGGGGGGCACACATTATGCAATAATAAACTCTGTAATAAAAACACTTTCAAGTTCAAATACCAACTACTTGTGCAATTAGGAAGTTTATCAAATCTAGTTTACCTTGGGCTTTGATTCCTTTGGTTGTGATGCAGTTGCATAATTCCTCAAAACCTGGAAGTGCAAAAATAATAATTACTACATTACAGCCATAAAGAGAGATATAATTACGTAGAGTTTCTGCTTACACCCACTTTTTTTCTCAGAAAAATGAAGTTAACTAATAAAGCTTTTATGCATAGTCCGATCAAACTATTCAAATCAAAACTCTTCAAACTGAATGCAGTTTAAGGTTGTGGCTTTTGCAAAATGCCCAACAGAGGAATATCTAAATTTCAACAATGCCAATTAAATTTTCAAGAAAGAATTCTAAATCGGTGTTTATACAACATAAAAATAAGGTTCACACTACGTGCAATATATATGGATAACTCAGCAAAATTACATGTAGATTGAGCATTTCAACATAAGACCAAAAGTTAGATAAAAGTAACTGAAAAGAAAAAACGAAACTTACAATTGTATTCAACACTGTAAGCGAGAACAGATAATCGAAATAATCGGTTTAAACAAAACATCAATCCAATATTTGATTAAATCGCACAAGTAAAGGGTTGTCACGCTGTATGATCCAAGAAGGAAACCAAGAAATTCGTTAAATAAAAGCAAGAAGAAGACAGGGAAAATAAGATGCAGAAGACGAAGAACACCTCTGAAACTGCAAAACCAGGAGAGGATCTCTGTGCAGAAATGGGCTCATTTCTAAGGATCCTTTGCACGAGAGAGAGATTCGGTCTGAGGCGGCCTGCCAACGCCATTGCAGAGTAGTTCTTGAGCAGAACTATTCGAGAAATGCAGATGAACTGAGGGAGAGATTAGAGCGGAGAAGCAAAGAGCTGCGAGACTGAGAGAGACGGGTGCCTCTGAGGTTTTTTCGATTCTCCTCGAAATAGGAGACGGGTACCGATGATGACCTGACCAACCAGTCGAGATGGTCATTTGCCATCTCTCCGGTCTCCAAATAGAAGGCGCGGGATCAAGCCCGCGGAGCCACACACTTTCCGTGGCACGGTGCAAGTGCGTGTGCATCAGCGCAACTCCTCGGACCAACCCGAGTTGGCATTTAACAATTACCACTGCTTCAGCCTTCAGGCTCGGGCCTTTCAAACTCCGATAAAAGCCCAACCCGAGTCCGCCCAAGTTGAACAGGACTTTGGAGACAGCCGTAAATATGCAATACATGAAAAAAATAAGGGTAAACCCTTATGGTTTAGCTAATTGACTAAATGTACTTTTACTGTTTGAAAATTGATTAATGTTATCTGTTCGGGTCATGGCTGACTTGGGCCTGCGAGATACGTGGCCGCCCAATTATCGTCCTATCACGTCGGCCTAACCCGACCATGATGGGATAGCTTGCCCAAGCTATGCTATTACTGTGGCACCCCATCTTATCCTTCTAGCCATGTCAACTACATGTCATTTGAATGAGCACAACTACGGATAAAGAGGAAGCAGGAAGACAACTCCCCGAGGGAATGAGACTCTATCCCGAATACTTCGGTGGCTAACTTCATCCTGACAGCCCCGAAGCCCAATCCGACTAGGACATTGATCTTCGGCTATAAAAAGGTACTCCATGCTCGAGGTAAGGGATCCAACTTCTGAGACCTACACCGCTACTTAGCTCAGATCGGATCCTTATAGCTCGGCCCGACCATCCTACCACCTCCTACTGACTTGAGCGTCGGAGTTCTTACCCGGGGATAACTCCCCGGGCCTCTGACTTCTGTTTCCTTGATCATAGGTTTTGAAACGCGACCTCGTCCTTATAGCTCGGCCCCACTCTGCCAGTAAGGACTATTTGGTTGCTCTTCTCAGTTCATGCACCACCTCAGATTGGGCAGCATCATTATCCTTACTGCTTTTGACAATTGACTAACTCTACCCTTACCGTTAACATCCATTAATATTCCATCAAAACCCATAAACACGTCACAGCACATGACATTTAAAATTTTTTAAAACCTAATTCTACCCCTATCCCCTTCCTCTCAACCCAGCATACCCTTCCTCCTCCGACCTCTCTCTCTTCCATCTATCTTCCTCACACAGTCTCTATCAACACCAGATCACCGGAGATAACTACACCACATCAACAAAAAAAACCAAAAAAATAGTAAAGCATCTGTCAATCTTTTCACAGTCAAGAACAAAAAAGAATAAAAAAAAAATAAAGCAAAGAACCAATGAGTGAACTGACACACCTTTCTTCCTCTTTCTTCTTCAACAGTGGGGTGCTCTATTGAAGAAGCAGATAACGAGTGAACCGAATAGGGGCGGTGGCAGTGGCGGCAACTGAAGTGGTATGAGCGAACTGAACAGGGGCAACAGCAGCAGCAACTCTCTGAAGTCTGATATCTCTCTTCTTCCTCCGTCACCAACAGCGGCAACCCCCTCTAAACTCCCATCTTTCTTTCTCTCTCTTTTTCCTCTGGGCGACGACAACGGTGGCGGCAAACCCCTCTGAACTCCCATCTCTCTTACTCTCTCTCTCTCTTCTTCCTCTAGGCAACGGCGACGGCGGCAACAACCCCCTCTGAAATCCCATCTCTCTTTCTCTTTCTCTTCTTCCTCTCGGCAACGGTGGCGGTAACCTCCTTTGAACAAGAGATGAAAAAGGAGTTACGGCAAGCTTGTAAGCAGAGAGTCGACAAAGGGTCCCTTACTCTGACGGACAAGCCTACAAACAGTAGAGTTGATGAATGAGAGCAGTTACATCGGCGGCACCATTGCTCGACGTCAATGTTTCGGCAATGACTTCCCGCCTGGATTTGCAACCGAGAGGAATCGCTCGAGGAGTTGTCTTTTTTCCAAAGACATTGTGGCATTTCTTCTGGTGATGAAGATCAAGCCGTTGAGAGAGCTGGTAATGAAGGGCCTCGCCACTGCTCTCTGCTACCAATACTCTTCGCCCAAGTCCTTCAAATAATCTCCAACCTACCGTCGATCTTGCCACGAAGGTGCCGGTGCCGGAGGGGTCGATGTAGACAACGATGACGGAGCTAAACCTGACCCCAAGTCCTTCATCTCAACTTGCATCGACGAGATAACAAGCGTGGATCTATTCTTGGTGAAAAAAAACTCACCGACCTTTGTCGTTCGGTATTTGCAGCGATCGTCGTCGTTGGCGATGGCCGCGTCGATAGATGGCGCTCCTCCCTTTCTCTTTCGACAGATAGGACTCATGTCTGAGAGGGATTATGAGTAAGTTAAAATCAATGACAAAAATGTAACTTTGCATAGGGGTAAAATGGGTGTTTAACATTTTCTATCCATGTTTAACGACTAAGGGCTTCTTCGTTTCCTCTTAACTCTTATCTCTTAAGAGGAATCTTTTAACTTTAAGAGAAAATTGGTTGTTCGTTTTCTGTTATCTCTTATCTCTTTAACTGTAATCATACAACCTTTTGTTTTTCAATGATACTCCCAAAAAGATAAACAAAAACTCTCATATATGGGGTTAAAATGGATATTTGATAGTTTTCAGAATTCAGAACAATATTCTATGCATTCAGAGTTCAAAGGAAAGAAAAGTTCACCAATACCAATAAACCTCTTAATATAATTATTACACTTTTGGATGCCAGACTTTAGAGTATGGGTATTTAGTTAATTAGCTAAACCATAAGGTTTTTGTTTCCCTCATGATCACTGTGTATTACTATATCATTATTAAATTTCGCTAATGGCAATGGGGCGAGAACTATATTCCCCGTCTACCGTTGGCATAAAAAGGGGAAATGACTTTGGATAAGGCTTGTATGATTAAAATCTAGCCATTGAACCCCCCCCCCCCCACACTCGGTGGATATTATATACGTCAGCATTTGTTCAAATTTTTTGACAAGAATACCCAAAAGAGCATGTACTCTAAAAAAAGTGTGGTTTCCACATTATATGGTTGAGTTTGCATCCAGTGAACCTGTGTGGATTCACATAAGAAGCTACTACATCGGTATTTTTAAATTTGTTCAAAGTTAACGGGCTTTCTACTGTTAGCACCAAAGAAGAAGGGGTTGTTTGACAAGTCTTTTTAGGAAGATCTTCTAGTAGCTCTCTAGAAGTTAAAAGATGCTTTTGCATGAAGATTAGAGCAGTCTGAAGCCCAGTTGGTTAAGGCGTGTCTTTACACACATCTTTCTGCACGAAGACAAATAGAAACACACACACATACAAAAGCTCCATTTGGAGCTTGATGAAAAGCGCCCAATTTGGGCTTCTCACATTTTTTGATGTGTCGGATTTTGGTGGCTAGATCTACCGCAAATCAAATAGGAAAAGACTGAATCGCAATCTGCCAAATTTGTAAATAGCCAATAGATTGCGCGAAAAAACACGCCAAACGGGGCCGAAATTGTTTTAAAATTCTGGAAATGCTGATCTGCATGGAAAAAAAGATCTCCCTCAAAGGAAATAGACGAAGTTTAGTTCTTAAGTGGGAGAAAATTCCAACCAATGCTATATATTAGAGTACCCTCTTCTGCAACAAATAGATGATTTTGTTCTGTTTTCATTAAGGCTCAGTTTGAAAAGAGTACATATTTGTATATATACAGTACAAATACATACAAAATAATATAAAATACATAGTTTTGCACTCTACATATTTGTATTTATACTTCTTCCAAACAAATCCTCTTCCTTTTATTTTTCATCCTAGAAGTATGGTTACTAAAAAGAGACAACCATAAATCAGGCCGTTAGACAGAGACAGGCTTACGAATCATAAAATCAGGACATGTACAAGTGGAACTGAGCTGGGCACGAGAAGTGTGAACTCATAAAAGAGGAAGAAGAAGATTGGAATAAGAGGAAGGAGAGGAGGGAGAGTAATGGGAGGAAAAAGAAGAAAAAGATTCTTCGCCTACCGCCAGTCTGCCATCGGTGGTGATGGTGTGCGATTTGGATGCTCCTAGATGGAAGGCAGCTCAAGCGTCAGTTATGAAGTAGACCAGTCAAACTGCAAGACAGATGGATCAGAGAACCCGGAGTGGCTAACCTGGCGAGGTCGCTTCGATGCTTAAGTCAGTATTGGATGTAAGTAGCGAGCTGGAAGTAAGTAAACTTTAGAGCTAGAATGCACTGTGCCGCGCGTAACTTGTGTCACTAAGGTAGATGCCCTTATATAGGCATTGTTTGGCGTGGGCTTCATGCATCGTGTCCGAGGTCTTTAGGAAGACGTGCCTAACCGGCCCGATGTCCTCGGAGTTAGTCGTGCACGTAAACCAGTCCACGCGTCTTGTTTAGTTTCCTCCGGAACATTCAGTATGGGGGCTAACTTCCGAGAAACCCTGGAGTGTCGGGATATGCATTCCAAATTGGTTGGTGAACACGTCTCGTAGGTCGCCACTTGGACCTCAATCAGATCGGCAAGCCCTCAAGGGAGGTCACTCCTCATTGAGGTCACTTTGACTGTACTAACGAGGTGCCACATGTCGGCCCTTGGACGAGGTGCTACAAGTCGTTCAGAGTTGTGGACGAGGTCGTTAGCTAGGTTTTTGCCAAGTTGGCGGTGGTGGCAAGTTGCCAGGTCGGACTCCATCTCGTTGGCTAAGGCAAGTCATCGCCTAGGTGGTGCCGATGGAGGAGAGGAGGGAATTGGAATGAAATCCCTTGAAAGTGGGTTTAATGGTTTTTTGTCCTTTTGTTTTCGGTTTAACCGGGTTCCAATTGGTAACGGTAGAAAATTCATTAATTAAAGCCAAAATTCAAAATGCCAACGTGGTAGCTTTTTATTGGTGGGTTCACGCTTCATAGGATGCAAACTCGTTCAAGCATTCCTTGGACTTGGTTCAGATTTGCAGCACAATGTGTTAAGCCCATGGGGGCTTGAGGTGAAGGTGGAAAGTTTCTGCTATTGGTGAGTGACCTGAGAGAGTTCAAATTAGGGTGGAAATTTGTTGTTTTGGTGCCTTGAATTGTACTTATGAATATGTTCCATGACTTGACTCCATAAATTTGAAAAAAGAAAAAAAAAAAACTAAGGCCAAATTTGAGTCAATTGTACTCTAGACTCGCAAGTGAATAGGTGATTTCTTCAACAACCAAGTACATCAAATGGATAATTCAATCCACTAGATAGACAATTACTAAGTAAGGTTATCATCCCATAGAATATTTCCCCAATAATCAAGAAAGTATCTAAATTTCAAACCCCATAACAAGGTTAAACCTGTATCGGTATTGTTTTATTATGTTTTTTATTTTTTAAATTTTTTCGAAACTGGTTCAGAGGGGCCGGTCTACCCTATGAACAAAATATGCCCTATATGGGTGTATCGGGAAGGCTCTGATACACAATGAGTAAAATATCAGTGTCGGGTACCGTATCGGATAACTCGGATACGGATACGCTTTGGAAACGCATGGATATGAATAAAAAATATGGAAACACATGGATACACTAGGGAAATACATACGAATTTCATAAATATATTAATAACAGTAAATTTAATATCAAAATGATCACAAAATAGTATATAAATACGTAAAAAATGTAAATATTAAGTATATATATGAAGAAATGTATTACGACTAATGAACCGGGGTGCATAATTTTATTTATAGTGCATCAATCAAGAGTACAAGACACTAATATATGCACATATTATATTTTAATTATTATATCAATTATTTTTTATTTTACTATTTTATTTTTTTAATATTAAGAAAAAGTCAACAACATATTAAATTTTCAAGTGCAAATTAAAATATCTAAGATGCATATCATATACAAATTCATAGTTTTTAATTACTAAAATAATTATTCCATTATTAATATTTTAATTTATATAAATTTTATGAAATAAAAAATCATTTTTTGAAATAAATGTAGATTAGTGGATTTGATCAATTCAATTTAATATTATATTCTTCAATATTTTGTATATAATATTTTTATTTTTTTGTAAATAATAAATATGTTGTTATTACTTATTAATGTGAATTAAAATATTAGTTAATAACTAATAAAATTTTAAGATTTATATCATGTACAAATTTATAAATTTTAAGTATTAAAAAAATTATTCTATTACTAATATTCTATTTGTATAAATTTCTTGATATTAAAAATCATCTTTTTTATATAAATGTGGATTTGATACATTATTTATTCTATTAGTTTATAAAATACTATTTTTAAATATTATTTTTTTATTGTTAATTACAGTTGTTAAATATAAATGTGTTTTTTTTTTACTTAAATTGCATGTGAACAGAAAAAGTTAATAAAACTTATTTTATTTTACTTAATATCATGAAATGTAGCATGGCTTACTGGTTTAGAAACGCATTGAATTCTAAATGCACGTGAGGTGACCTGGGTTTAAATCACCTCATTCGCATTTTTTATGGAGATTGCTGAATGGACAGCGCATACCAATGCGTATCGGTCGATATAATGTGATACATGCCAATACGCATCCATATCTGTTAGCTCCCGTATCGTTACTAACCGATACCCATACGATATGCCCCGTATCGGACGTATCGTATTGATATTTAAATCCTTGTCGATACGTGATGAAATTTTGATCCTTGCCCCAGAATAAGCTATTGATGGAGACCCATTTCAACAACATAGTTGTTAAGGCGCCTAGGCAATTTTGGGCAACACTAGGTGCCTAATCGCCTAGGTGCCTGCCTAGCCGATAAAATTATATGACATGAAGAACTAACTTTTAGTCAATTCCCTAGATTTATATAATGTTCAACACACATACTAATTGGAAAAAGAGCAAGTCTCTTTATTAAGAACATTAAATTTTCACTAAAAATGTGGCAAATCAATATATCTAAAAGATAAATATCTTTTGATTATATCAATTTTATTATTTTCAAAAATAATACTATTATAATTAAGTATTTAATAGAGCAATTTCATATCAATTAGCAACTAAAGAAGGCTATTAACTTTATAAGATAAAAATTCAAGATGGAAGTAAAGTAGAAAAAACTAAGGATGGAGTTGCTATTTTATTTAGTTGATGTGTGTGTGTGTGTGTGTCTGAGAGAGAGAGAGAGAGAGAGAGAATGGGGAAAAAAGAAACCTCTCTATACTTCTATTCATTCTTCATTTCTTTTTCTCTTCTCAAAACCTTTGATCTTTCAAATTTAAATAGTAAAACATTAAAATAAAGTATGAATGATATATAAAGTATAGAATAGAATGTATTAACACAAACATTAATAAGATGCAGCAATACAAATGATATTACAAGGAAGCCTAGTTACCTAGGCAACACCTTGACAAACTATGTTCAGCAAGAATCTTTCAAACCTATCACATAAGTTCTCAACTTATGCTGGCTAATCTTGGTATTCTTTCTCAAAACTATATTTTCATATTAGAGAGTAATAGTGCTATCCAATGTAGCTACAACACAAGCATCCAAGCACCCAGGTGGAATAATTTCATGCTTGGTCATTACTTAATCTCTTTTACAAGACAAAATACAAATATGAAAGGCTAGTACTTGGGTGACAATTATGTGAAACACAAACATCCAACAAAGGAGGAGGACTCGAGAATGGTTTGCCCCATCATCCACAACCATGCATAACTCCTAATTGGTGGGGTTCATGCATTACAGACACAAATATGTCATCTAAATTCTCTCCTTTTGTAAAAGAGAGAAATGTTTAATAAGTAGGGAATTTCAACTTCAAAACTTAGTAGAACAGGTTCACTAATCTATACTATTAATAAAAGAGCGAATAACCCCATTTTCTGGACTTTTCACTAGACATTTTTACCCCTTATCTAAGCAACATACAACGGGCATAAAAAATGGTATATATGTCCTTTACTCTCCAAAAACTGTCCAGTTATAACAGTTAAGAAACTGCCACTTATAACTGTTCAAAAACTGTCCACTTATAACAGTTAAGAAACTGCCAACTTATAACTGTTCAAAAACTGCCCATGAATTGTAAATCGTTTTATCTTGGAGATACTGTCACGTGCAAATGCACGTACATGTTTACTAGTCTACAGAAATGCAAGAATAACAAGTAGATCAATAAATTATGCCATGTACCTATAATGATCTAATATTTAAGGTTCCAAAATAAGGAGGAATGTAAATCATCAACAGCATATTTTAACTCAGATGAAGCACTTCCTGTAATTTCACAGGTCACCAACTTAGACCTCAATAATGATAGCAACTCTATATGCCGGGATTGTTTCCTCCGCAGCACTCGAATATATGCAGTCAACCCAAGCCACTCAACTTCTTCTCTATTTAATTGGAGAATAGGATGGAAACTAAGTCCAAGATGTACAGAATGCACCCTTTTCTTTATGAGATTGTACATGAACCTGACAAGATATGTGAACAAACATAATATTAACAATCACAAACAATAATGCTACTAACAAAATGTAAAGGCAATTACAATTGTTAGAATCCTAAACTCAAAAGTTTTGTGACCATGAAAAATGAAATAATGATTCTATTTCTTGGTGCCTCCAGACAGTCTTCACAATTTGTTACTTGTTAGCAACACATATATGGTCTCAACCAATTTTTCAATTTTGCATAATATTATAATATAGAATGCATTTGGAAACAGCCTCTCTATGTATCTGCATGGGTAAGGCTGTGCTCATCTGTCCCTCCCCAGACCCCACATTGGCGGGAGCCTTATGCACCAGGTGGCCCTTATCATGTAGAATGCATATCTTCATTACTGTCAGATTGATTAAGTTAATTATAATAACCAAAGCTAGAAAATAAATAAATCCATACCTAAAAGAATTCTGAATTATTTTTGAATGGAACGCAGCAGGAAGAATGCAAGCTTTTGACAACTCGCAGACATAGCAATGGAACTTCATTGCACATAATAAAAAAGATTGATATACATTTAACCTGACAACTGCTGCAGAGTTAATATTTGAGTCGTAGAATATAGGGTGGCATTTTGGTCGCATATAGTCACACAACTTCGCCTTTAGATAGTGACCTGATTTACCTTGCCAGAAGACAGTAAGTGTTGACCTCAAATGGATATTTGCGTACCTGTTAGCATTATACACACGCTATCAATAAGCATTTTGTCAAATGAAAATAATCAGATAAAACAAAAGGTATCGATTAACTGATGATAATCCTATGAAATTACACAAATATTTCGGCTCTAATTAGGCATGCATACTCGGGAATAATTGGCTGAAGAGACTCAGAACATAGAACAGAGATAGAGTCCTTCAACGGTTTGCTTGCTGCCTACAGTAGGACCAACAACACTATAGTAGAGGTAAAGTCTCAAGTGGTGATATGCTGGTTCAAAGATGAGGTAGAACGTCCTTTAAGCCTTTCATAACTATATCAGGGAGGTTTAAGATCTAATATCCTGGATTAAAAACTAATTCAAATGGATCAGGAAATCACCTAATACAATGGCTGTTAGCTTGGCACGTTGGGGGGCATCCTTCAAGTTAGCTTCATGTTATATGAGAATGTACTATACTGTGTTACTTGACTACATGGTAAGATTGATTAGTTAGTCTTCTATATCTTACATTCTTATGAAAATACATAATGATTGTACATTTGACTCATTTATGAACTAATAAAATTACCTGATAATTTATTATCAAATAAACAAAAAATTCAGCATCCAAGTTTTGCAAGGGACTAGTAATCTAATCTATAACAACAGAAGGTAAAGACATAAATTGTATTCTTTATTTAAGTTTCCTTACAGGGGCTATTGCTTGTTGTGAGGGTAAAATCTCAGTCTGACAAGTATGAGCGCACAGGTTCCAGTCTGTGAGCAGCTGCTTGGTGCCAAAAAAAAAAAAAGATCCTGATCATAGGCATGCATCTAGTCCACCCCTCCCAATACCCCAAATAGCTAGGAACAGCATTGGGTAAAGATCTTTTAGTTTCCTTGAGTAGTACAGAAATAACCTAATTTCTCTTTGTGGTCAATAACAAAGAAAAATAACAAAGAAAAAGTATGCATACAACATTCACTTGGCTGAAATAAGAACCAAACTTTAAAGAAAATGTCATAACGTTCAGCAAAACAGATAATTCTGCGTCTATAAGAATAGAACATCATTCTCTGCTCCCTTCACCATTAACATGGATGTTATAATACTTGAAAGAATGACAGTTATAACCATATAAAAAAAGCGAGGGATGGGCTTTTTTTAACTAATTCTGGGTAGAGCAATACCACTAACAGCAATTCCCTAATTTTGTCCATCAACAAAGTTTTAATGTCAGTCTAGTTTTTTTTTTTTTTTCCGCTTGATCTAGTAATAGTAAATTGTTTCTATCAATTTGAAGCTTAAAACAATTTACTTCACTAAGAACATACTGAAAAAAATAGCCACCCTTACAACAAGATAACAATTTGAAATTATCAAAACCTTGTGTAGTCTGCCTGGATTTCCAATGTGCTGCAGTTGATAAGCAAACCACTCCAGGGAAGAAATGGCACACCATCTTCACCAATATACACCCTGTTAGATGAAAGCTTTGACACGTGGTCTATATCAAAATTGACACAAAATTTTTCTTCATTCATGAAACAGTTGTACTCTCGGAATCCTCGCTGAAGCCTGGAGAAGAAGCTAACAGCCTGCTTCTTTGATGTTGATATAAAAAGGAAGTCATCTATGAGCCTCATTAGCATATACTTATGGGTTGATAAGACAACTTCATCTTTATCATCACTCTGTGTTGCATCAGTGTTTTGAGAATTATGTTTTATAGGTATTTTAGAGCTGGAAGGTATGACAATGTAATAGTCATGATTTTTTTCAAGAAATGGAAAGATCACATTCCTTTCTAAATGACCATAGTAAAATGAGCAAAGAAGGGAAGACAATACACTTCCTTGAGGAATACCAACTTCTTGCAAGTAAAACTTTTGGCCGAATTGCAACACATTATGCTTCACATGCTCATAAAGATTATGAAAAAGTTCTTCCTTTCTTATTTTCCTGCTTTTCTCCTGAAAGATTCACATAAATAAGAACTTAAGCGAATGCTAAAATATCCTACAAATAAATAAGAATAAAATTATAACAATGATTAATCCAGTAAATGAAAACATATGGAACCACAATAAGCTGTAAACAATGTCATAGTAATAAGTATCAGATCATGGTATCTTTCCCCCAGTCATACATAAATGTTGAATCAAAGTTTTTAATAATCCTTACAGAAATAGGTGCAGGAGGGGAGAGACAGGGTTGAAGCCATGAAGACTGTAGGAGGAGAAAAAAGATTCTATATGTAGCCAAAGGCCCAAGTCTGACACTCTCATGGTCATTGATCCTATGGCTTGGTGAATTGCTACATGCTATCTCAAAAGGATATCTCATCTAGCTTAAGGAGGTAAGGCCACAAATGGAGGTCCTCTCAAAGTCAATCAATCATAAAATAGAGAGGGATTTGCAGAGAGCTAATAGAATATGCACAATTTCTTTAAGATATTGGAAGAAATAGGCCATTTGATGCTCAAAGCAGCAGAAGACTGTGTAGAGGCTCTAAACAGTGGATTCAGCCTGGATGAAGAATGGTTGAGGGTTTTAAGGGGGGTCTACAACTACAACAGTATGACTAGTGAGTAGTGATAATTAGAGCCAGGGTATCTTGAAGTAGGAGTAGATGCATTACCACAGGAAGAGGCACTGATCAAAAAGGGAGTAGGGCTGGTGGTGTGATTGCTTGACTGTAGCAGCAAGATTTGTTTTTGATTGGCGTAGAATATAGGTGCTTGGTGTGGGGCGGAGGTCTATAAGACGCTTCAGGATAGATTTAGTTGAGCTTCTAGGATCACTGGATTTGGTTTTATACCTTTTGTAAGGTTAGTTTCACAGGCTTTTCTGGTTTTCAGTTTACACAAGGTTTGAATCAAGTTGGATTGGATTACATTTGTACAAGTTCAAGTTATATCAATATATAAAACCCATCTTGAGTGCGAGTGCTAAGTGGCATAAGTAGAAGGGGTAGTAGTGTCTTTTCTTCTTTATATTTATGTTTACTACAATCCTGTCCCAGTCATAAAAGAAGGACAGCCCTTTTAATGTAATTATTAAACATATGATAGCAGCTACCAAGGATGGGAGACAAATTTTTTTTCTTGCCAAGTATTACTTATTTTCTAGCTCTCTCTTCTAAGAACTGCATCTTTCAGTCACTAGAACAAATATAAAGTTATAAACACAACAAACACAACTAAAAATTTAAAATCCTCTTGTGAAAGGGATAATAAGAATCTATAAAGGCATTAAGAGATATAACAGCCTAAAAGTTTTCAAGATGCTGAAAAAATGCACTATGGGTTCCAGAAATTAATGCTAAATTATGATGATAAATGCAAAGGAAAAAATATATTTAGTGTTACCAATAAAAACAAAACCATATGGAAGCCAGTCATCTTTCAGCTATGAAACGGTTGAAGAAGAGTTAATAAAATTGGAAGAACTAAATATACAATATAAGAGACTACACTCAATAAAATACCTGGTTAACAAGAACAAAATGTGATGAGTCGGAAGGAATAGAACTAGTTGTAGTTTTAATACCACCATTGCTAGTTGTGTCCGATAATATTTGATCATACTGAATGGATAAAGTCTTCTTTGTGCAGACAACTTTGGAGAATTGTTTTACAAGATACTCGTCATCAAGAAAAACATCTTTCATCACAGAAAGCAATTTATCCTGATCAACAGAATCAAATGCCTTGAAAACATCACAAACTACAATAAATAAGTTAGGCATCGATCCTGATTCATTCTTCAAACTGATAAGAAATTGGCACAGCTTTTTATAGATATCATTATAGTCAAATACTGAGGACCCCAATTTCTCAGGATTTTTCACTTTTAGTCCTTTTAAGACAGTATGTAAATCATAAAGGACGTAGTTCACAGACTTGAAATGATCACATTTGACTGCTTTCGAATAACTTCCTGTATTTTTCTGCACTCCACAAGAATTATCTTTCAAATAAGACTTATGCAAGTATACTCTTGATGGTGCCCTAAGGTTTGCTAGCACCCTCATTCCAATTTCCTTTGGACAGAATCTGACTTTTGAGAAACCAAATCTTCTTTTTCTTATAATATTTCTGAAAGAGGAGTCTTCCAACAACTGGTAATTCTGTTCCTTCAAGAGAGAAATGGCCCTGTTCGTCAGCTTCTCCCAAATTGGTTTTCGGTAATAAAAAATGTCTTGTTTCCCAAACTCACTTTCTGTGACATAGAAGTTAGCATGTATGATTGGAATTAATAGACGTGAAAAGAACCAATAAACCCAACTTGCAAAGATCTTATCTTTCAGCGTACTGAGTTCCTCATTTCCATCAAGTATGCCAGCACCCTTCCCTACTCCATCTTTTAGAAAATGACAACTCAAGCAGCAGAAAAAATTCTTATTCAATAGAAAGGGAAAACATGATATTTTCAGACCATGCATACATTGCTTTAAGCAGAACTTTTCAAATCTCCGCAACCGGATAAAGTTATAAATATTTCTCCTTAATGCTCTCCAGTTAGAGGGATCTCCGAGTAAATCAGGAGGAACTATTCTCCTACAAACAGCCCATATAAATGACACCACCTGGTCTTTTGCACAGAAACAATCATTCAGCTTGGTATTTGGAGTTTTGATGCTATGCTTGTCTTGCTGTCTAGTAACATGGCTGTTGCATTTACTCAGAAAAATATTGCTATTTCTTTTTTCAGTTATTTCTGCCTGTGACCTGTTCCCCTGAAAGAAAAACATTATTGTGCATTAAAAAAATTATGACAAAATAATATGCACTATCAGCATATTGAAGCAGCTTATGAACAAATCTCCAAACGAGAAAAGGGAAATATTAAGGAAAATAACCAATGCTAAAATACATGGAGAGAGTGATTTTAAGACAGCAAGGGATTCCTAATACTTTCAGACCTAGTGGTGGCCTTTGGAGGATGAAGGAAGATAATTGGATGATTAATGATGAACAGAGATGGAGAACCAAGTAGACAGCTTGCTGTCCAAAAAAGAATGAGCAGGAGATTAGAAAGAAAGAGAAAAACTCTTTCGATAGAGCAGACAGCAAAGAGACAGGTTACTTGGAAGAAATAAGTGAAAGAAAGAGAAAAATATCTTGCTACAACTAGAACTCACCAAACCAAATTTTTATTCATCAAACAAATTGTCTAAAGCAACTTCATAAAACTAAGTTCCATCAACATCTGATCTAGCAAGACCATTTTCTAGTGAGTTAGCTGATCTTCATGTCATAATGAACAGGATGTTTACTCTAGCAGCCAAGGACAAAGTCTTATAAACACTGTTGCAGATGCCATAGATCCTTTTTGTCACCCCTCACCCAACCCAACCAATCACCATCCACAAGCCTCCCCCATCACTAACCTCTAGATGCCCAAGGGAAACATCAGTCTAAAAGCCTATAGTAAAGTTAATGTCACAGCCTTAACAGAACTCCCATGTCAATGACTAAGAAATCTAAAAACAAAACAAACAAACAAATAAAAAATTCCCATGCCTGGGTCTCCTTGTTTGTAAAAACACTTGCATCCCATTTCCAGCCAGACTGTCCATAGAACAATACTCAGACATTACCAAATATACTTATAAAAGAAAAGGCATTACCAACTATGGGGTAAAGTCATGCATTTCATCACTTAGCCAAGTTGCCTGAATTGGAACTCCAAAGGGGTAGGATCATACAGGGTTAAAGGCTTAAAGCTATGATACACAGATACCTGTACTACAAAGGTGTTGTATTGCGTCAAAAACTTCAGTTTTTAGTGTGTATTCCATATCCAATAACATATCCAGCCATGTCCTTTCCATATCAGGGTAATATAGAGCTAAAGCCATTATAAAGAATAAAGCCAAAGAGAAAGACACTTGAAAATAAACTGAGTACATCCTCTTACCAAGGACCGAGGGAAAAGGAAACTAACAGACAAAAAGAGCCACCACTTCTAGACTTATTTTTATAGTAAATAGAAAAGAAATTTCACTAAATATATATATATATAAATAGAAGGTAATGGCATCTTGAGATTATAAGGAAAACAAAATCATATGAGAAGCCCAAATTAGACTGGACAATGCAAGAAGCAATACAATGCAGAAAGCAAGGAATATAAAGAGAGTCACCACACCAAAGGTCTATCCAAAATTTTGTTTTGGAGCCAATACTGGATTGTACTTGATATGACTCAAGAATCTAAAGAGAAATACCACAATCCACTTCTAAAGTAAAGCTAATGTAGCTCTCTTGTCTAAACCCACATACCAACCATTCAAATCAGTGCCATGAATTCTAACCTTGATACCTCCATAATAAACAAAGAAGGATTAAGTGCAAAATTAGATTTATGGACAAAAAACTTAGAAACAATAGGTGTTAAAATAATAATGAGCACAAAAAGAATTATATGCAATGTAAGCTTAATAATAATAGAAGCAGAAATCAGGGTAGACTTTGGATTGGCCTCTTCTGTTACCTTGGCTTAAAAATCCATGACAAGGGAGAGAGGAGAATGTTGCCCATATAATTAGAGCAGGATGGGCAAAATGAAGGGATGCATCTGGAGTTTTATGCAATAACAGAACCACTTGAGCTAAAAGGAAAATTTTATAAAGTGGTTATAAGGCCAGCAATTTTTTTATAGAGCAGAGTGTTGAGCAGTTGAGGAGCAACATGCCTCAAAAAATGAGTGTGGTATGCATCTTTTGTAGCTCTAATACCCAAAACGCCAGAAGCAAAGCACCCTAATGACTTAGACTCGTTAGCCTGATATGGTGTTTGTACAAAATCATTGCAAAGGTCCTTGAAATGTGCTTCCCTTCATTACTCCGCAAAATCAAGGGAGACAAATCACAGATCAAATTATTATCTGATGCTGCTGCCAAACAAGGCGCAGTTCTGTGATTTTGATCCACTTTATGATCAGTTAACATAAAACATAATGGGGCTACAGTTGAGCTTCACAACTGGATCATCCTCCCTCACATTCTATTCCTCTTTTCTTCTTCCTCCAAACCCTCTTCTTCTGATCTGCTTTTCCATCCACTTTCTGGACTTAGTTAATCAGATTGACTGAAGAATTGTTACTGGTTTGACTACTGCTAATTAGCAAGTATTGTCTAAGATTTAAGATACAATTACAATTTTAAGAACATAGCTACCAATCAAGACAAGAAGCTTAGCAATACCAAATTTACATGCGACAATACTATATATATATATATATATATATACACCTAATTTACATGAGACAATACTAGAGATACTTTGTTTGGCCAAACTATCAGTAAAAGAGTTAGCATCTCTTTTCACCCATTGAAGAGTCACTTCCATTCCTTGTGGTAGCCACATGATTCTTATTTTCTCATAAATGTAGTCCCACCAACCAATCTCTTCTTCCTTTTAAAGGAAACTTATAACTAGCTTTGAGTTCCCTTCTATTGACAGCTTACTGATATTCAGCTCCCTAGCATTTTGGATTCCCTCCATGACAGCAAATATTTCAGCCCTTAACGAATCACCCACCCCAATTGGACCTGAGTTGAGAACAATAACTTTCCCTTCACTGCTACCATCGAAATTCAACATGATAAAATCACTAGATGGAGGGGTCAAGATGGCCTAACAATATCCTTGAAGGGAGCAGAATCAGCTATTTCCTTCCAATTTCTCATTAATTCACTTGCAGAAGTGTTCTCAAAGAACTTCAGGGATTTCACCCAGTGGATCACTCTAATGGTAATGGCTTCAATTAAGGCATCCTTCTCTTTCTCTGAAAAGGTTCTTTGAATCCTTTCTTCCCAAATTGTCCAACAAACAGCCACCCATGTACACCTCCATAGAGTTCTTCCCCTCTTCTTTGGCCAGCTTACAAAAGCATAAGCGAACAGGCTTTGTACATTTGATGGAGGGTTCCACTTGCACTCAAATAAAGAGCAAAATCATTCTCAAATTGAAGAAGCAAAGAGGCAGGGGATTAGTAAGTTACAACAAGTCTCACCACTTGCCTTACAAAGAAAGAACCAGTGTGGGGACAGAAACCAAAAAGGTCTTTTCTTTGCAATAGTAAATCACAGGTATTAATTCTTTCCAAAAGCACTTTCCAACAAAAAGCTCCCACCCTTGGAGGAATAGGTTTGCTACAAGTCTCCTTTACAGGGAAAGACACTCCAAGGCTATCACTTGGATGTATTAAGGATAAAAATAAAGAGGCACAGATAAAGGAACCAGAGGAAGATAAAGTCCAAATCCAACTATCCCTTTTTGAAGGATCCAGGAAGACCCCTTCAAGACCTTGGAGCAAAATTGAAACACTACTTTCAGACTCATGGAAGCCTCTTCTGAAGCGCAAGTCCGAACCAAGAAAGTTGTAATAGGTTCATCCTCTAAGATCTCCCTCTCTTCCATATTCAACCCCACAATGCAACTTTTATCTAGATTGGTTTTCAGGTTGGACATTTGCTCAAAAGTTCGAACAATCAACTTTAGGAAAATGGAATAAATGCTATTCTGTTTATTCTTTTTTATTTGGAGTAGCCTTTTTCAAAGATATCTTGGGTTGGACATGAATGCGATGCTTTTGAGAATGTAATAGAGAATCCCTTGGTAACTGCAAGTTCTACAAAGTCATATTATGTTCTAGAAGAACGTTTGTCGACACAAATTTCGTGTATTTGATTAGCACAAAATATGGAGACAAATTACAAAAAATAAATTTGTAATAAAGAAAACAAACAAGGGAATGAGCTCTCTTTGATTTCTGCTCGATGATGTGAGCAACCTCTGATTGATGGTCGAATTTGGTGAAGACGAGGGCCGTTGGCGTGTTTCTCGTACTTCTTGAAGTGTTGATATAGATTTCCTTGATTTTGGTGCTTTGGGAGATTTGGTGTAGATTTCTTCACTCCGGGCTTTGCGCATGATCGGATGTGAAGGATGCTTCTCTAAGAAGGGCCCTTTTGTGGTGGCTCAATCTTCTTTGGAGAGCTTGAATCCAAGTGTTGTAGAGAACGAAGAAGCTTTTCCCTCTTTTCTTCTCTCTGGATCTTGTAGCTGCTGGAGGTTGCAGGAGCTTGTGGTTGCTTGCAATCTTCAGTGTTGGTGTCTAAGAGCTTCTTGCAATGTGATTCTCTCAAAAGGAAGAAAAAAAGGCCCTCTTTCTTCCTAGGCAAGGCTATTTATAGCCAAGGGATAAGGCTGCCACCTCAGCCCACTTAGCTAACCAATCCCATGTGAGTGGGGTGTTGGGTTAGCATTAACTCCTATACATGCACCATTATGTAGGAGTTAGTGGTCTTGCCAATAGGACCACCCTATTACAATAGGAGATGGGCCAAATTGGGCTTAATACACTTGGATCCTTAGGCCACATATTTATGTAGACTTGGACCTTGGGCCCATGGAGGCCCATATTATTTAGAGGCTGTCATGTAAATTAAACCCATTTATTTAGCTTAAAATTCGCATGCCTACAACGTTATAACTACTACAAACTCCAACTCTCGTGAGAGGTACATATCGGTTACTAGAGTTGTTCATGGGCCAGGCACGGGCTTGACTTTTTCCAAAAATTGAATGGGCCCAGCCCAAAGCCCAAGCCCGACGTAGTGTAAAGTTAGGCCCAAAGCCCGGCCTGTGAACAGGTCTATCAGTTACTTCCTACAAGTATAGGGAGGAATATTGTGTTCCTATAGATTACATATCAACACAACTCAAATCAACTCAGCCCTAATCCCAACTATTTAAAGTCAGCTACATGAATCCTGTCCCATCTTTGTTCTCTATCAAGAGCCAAAGTTACACATAAACATCCATAAAAAATAATATGATGACATCAACTGACATGCAAGAATGCTAGTCAGTCACTACTCTATTGATATATACCAAACTAAAAGTCTAAAACCAATATTTTACTAGGTAAATGAAGCATTCCCATGTAGATATAGATGTAAAATCCATATCGCTGCCTTCAGTTAAAGAAAGAACTGTAAGATAAAACTTGCCTCATAATTGCTTGCTGATAAAGGTGAACAAACCAGCCAACTTTAGAAAAAAAAAATTGATGGCATATTCATGCATTCTACTGTATAAACCTAACATTGCCCTAAAATGAGATTACTACTGAAATCTGCAAATGGATTTCCCAAAATGTAATAACTTCAATAAAGTATTAGAAGCTGATATGTATACAAAACATTACATTAGCAAGAATCCTAAAATGCCTTCTAAAATATGTCAGATTGTTCAACAAAACAGTTTGCAAGTAACAGATGCCTTATGATTCAGACTCTTCCTTTAGGAAAGCAGACCTCAAAAAATGGCTTAACACCTCTGTTAGCATCTCCACCCAAGGCTGGAACCATGCAGTGCTTATCCAACAATTTCAAGTGTTTACAATGCTGAGCTCTGTGTATGAGACTTTTAAGAAACCCAAGAAGCGGGTGATACCTAGGAATTCAAAGAAGTACCAATTATTTTACGAAGAAAATAAGAAGAATAAGAAGAAGAAGAAGAAGCAAGTGATCTCAATAAGCAAAAATGGGTTTACAAAGAAATTAAGATGAAGCATATATTGCACATTAGTAAATAAATAATGTACTGAAGCATGAAATTTACAAAGCATTGTTTGTTTTTGGAGCCCATATTGAAGTTGCCATTCAACAGTAGTTTGTCACAATACTTGATTATTCTATTCTTCCTCCCCAATCATCTGGTTCCTCTTTCTTACTTACAAACTTCATATTAGATGCTCTTGCATATTTCATATGGTTTCACAGCCAAGGTTAAAAATGTAGGTGATTTTAGAAATGTCGGTTAATTTAAAATTAAGAAACATGTGGAAAATGCCATGTGAAAATACCAAAAAACCATTATTACTGGAAACATCATAACTTTTTTCAAGTGTTAATTGGTATTCCAGGAAACGTAAGAAGAGCATCAACTATAAGATATTATCTTACTCTAAAATAAGATTAGAGGGTGGAACACAAGTTAATGTGGACAAAAGTAGTTCATGTTGCATACGTATAACATTTTGGTTACCCAAAACTACTTTACTTTTTTCTTGTAATCCAATACATTTGCTACATACTAAATATAAAAGTCTTTTATGCTTACGTAGTTGTTTATTCAAGCAATAGGACAACTGACTGTGCATTAAATCTTTAAAAAATTCACAAAGTGGCATTCTTAACTAGAAAATTCAAACACAAATAACATTATTCTGATAGTGTATCAATGCTCAAGGAAATAAGACTTTTCTGGAAGTGTATAAACTCAATTGATCCCCTAATGCAAGCTTCAACTATCTCCTCCTTCATGCCCTATCCCCTTCTAGAATTTCTTGGATTTTTTCAAATTTAGGCCAAGGTCATATCTCTTTTGGAAATGTTTTGGCATTCAATTACACAATAACCAGGCCAAGGTCATACCTCTTTTGTTTTGGCACTTATCACTGGAACTGGAAGGTGATAAATTAAAAGATTAATACTTGTAGCCGCCCTCAATGAAGATGCAAGATTTTTGGAAAATATTCAACATGACCATATACTTTGAAAAGTCAGTAGTTAGACTATTCACCACCTTCTTATTAGTTGTTATTTTTCTGCCATACTCTACAACCACGCCATGCCCCCTTCTGGTTCTTAGTTGCCACTAACAATCTTCCATTTCATGCCTCTAGTCCCCAAACAATTTTTCACCCCAGGTACTTATTGATTTGGTTTCTATACAATTTTTTTTTATCAGTAACTAAATCTTTATAACTTATAACAATATGGTACACATAGTTGTCAAGGCGACGCCGCCCGCCTAGGCGACAAGGCGCCTTTTGAGGCTCGCCTTGCCTAATCGCCTAACAGTTTTCTACTTCCTACTATAAAAAACTTTTTTATTCATTCTTTTTTGAGATTATAATTATAAAATAGACATTATTAAACTAAAATAATCATTTTTGTGTGTTTATATACTAATTCCTTTTTATTATTTTCTTATTTATTAGGGTTTAATCAACACAAACATTGCTAAATGCTGTATTGAACCCTCAAAGATTTAAAAAACCTGAACCAATAAGTAAGGAAGAACTTTTTTTTTTTTGATAATTGAAATGATTTTATAAAACAGCAATAGACAATAGTGCAAAGTCCTCAAGGAAAGGTACGAGTTTCAACCTCTCCAGGCTAGTTAAGTACAGATTTCCAAATTAATAACAACTTACATAGAAGCACAAAAAAGATCTTCCCTAGAAACCCCCTGTTTGGCTAAAGCATCAGCCAAAGAATTAGCAAACCTACTAACCCATTTTACCTCAACTCTCATATTACTGGTTAACCACTTTACTTTTTTTATGAGATCTTTGTAGCCCCAAATGGTGGTATCCAA